CTGCCCTGTGTTTCCTGACTGGGAAATGAAAGTAGGCATTGAGGAAAAGATACAAGGACTTTCTGAAAAAGACCTTCATCTCTGATGGTATTGATTACTACCAGTGGGCAACAGAACCTGAAAACATGGCAGCATAATGTCTTCCACATGGCATCTCTTTCTGGAGTTATCAATGATTAAAGAATCTTCTGCCTGCCTGACCTGCCACAGTAGCAGAACTGTTTTGTACAGGCATTATCAACCACCAGCAGAACTGTAAAAGACACAGATCACACCCTCATAAGTCACCATTTCCAATGTACATACACACACACAATTTGATTAATAAGCACTTATGGAATTTTCTGTGAATATGATTGACTATTATTTTTTCATCTTATTTCAGCCATCTGTGATTATTATATAAACATATATAACCCTAATCCTTTACTTCTATGCTTGCTTTTTTTACATTTTTCACCCAATGTTATTCAAATTCATAAATAAGATGAAAGAAATACTCTAGTTCTTTTACATTATTTTAATTATCTTAAATACTTCTCTTGCTTTGGAGCTTACAGCCAAGCAATGATGAGCTTGGTCAGTACCTAGATGGGTAACCACATGAGAATACCAGGTGGTGTAATGGATAATGACTCAGAATTGGAAATCGCAGAGTTCCAGTTCCACTACTTGGGTTCATTGTATTCACTTATGCACAAATACCTTTGAAAAGGGTTTGAACCCACCTTTTCTTCTCCAGCTATGGGTTAATAATTAGTAGGAGTTGTATCAGCAAATCACTGTCTCCCCCTCCCAATTCTTACAATCTAAAAATATTTTCTGGCTTTGAATAACCTGCAAAAGGTTGATAGTCCGTAAAAAAGATCAATCCATCAATTCTTTTGCTTTTACATTTAATAGTAATAGTCTTAAATTGTCTGAATTTCTTAGACAAAGCATTGTTAATTATTAATTTTTGATTTTTCTTACTCTTTGGACCTTCATTCTTTGTTCTTGATCTGTGCTACTTGTTTAATATTTATAAAAGGACAGTCTGGGAGTTGCAATAGAAATAATAAATGATAGTGCTTCATGTAAGAAACTTGAACACTTTTATATGATTGTTCACTTGCCTTAGTCATATTTACAAACCAGCATTTTCTATCTTTATAAGGATTTAGGCTATGCATGGATCTAACATTGGGTTATACTGTTTCATATACATATAAACACACACTTCATACCTGTGTTTCATATACACATAAACACACACTTCATACCTGTGTTTATGTTAGCATATAATTTTATATATGGCAATTCCTTACTTAATATTGATAGATTCTTGAAAATTTTGACTTTAAGTAAAAATGCAGAACCAGTTTTACTATAGACTCGATGATATAAACAATAGTTAAATTCCTACCATATGTTCCTATTCACATAGTATGCTTCCCCAAACACTACAATCTTAACCTATTCAAGCCTAGAGTTTAACTATTAACTTCCTCACATATTCTCATAAATTTTGCTCCTTTACTTCTTATTCTGTAACCCTTTACGTCAAGTGACGTTTGGGCCTTTTATTGTGTAGAAAACAAAAAATACACTTTTAGTGTTTTTTTTTTTTTTTGAATTGATAGACTTTTAAAGTGTACAGTGGATTTAAAAATTCTAAGGGATGCTTTCTGATACTACTCAGTACAAAATCAAACAATCACTGTGTGACATACTAACATTAGTATGGTATGAGTCCATGTCACATAATTTTGTTGTCATATAGGATTTTCACTTACAAATTTTATTTAACTCTACCTAATAGTTCTTCCTCATCAACTATATATATATATATATATATATATATATATATATATATATATATATATATATATATATATATAGTAAATTGCTGATACCCACTGAAGAGTGGATGGATAGGTCCACCTACAAAACTGGAGTCAGGATGTTGAAGGTAACCTGAATCAGCTAAGTGACAAACTTTTACTCATTAATCTTCTCTCTATCTCTCTCTCTCTCTGTGTGTATATATATATATATATATATATATATATATATATATATATATATATATATTAAATGTTATTTTTTCTAGTGGATAACCATATTTGAGTAGATATGTTTATTTATTAAACAGTATATTTATTTATTTACATCTACCAGCCTAAATGTTCAAGAGATCATATTAGAAAAATATTTACTCTGGCAGGATTTGGACCTGTATTCCTCTAGAGGAAACTATCATTAGATATTAGATCTGATGTGCTTTGACTTCTCGGCTACAGAAAACCTGATGGCTAACAAAAGCTCCAATAGTGCTTTTAAACACAAATTATTACTGATTCTTGAAATATGCATCTCTGCTCAGTTTCGTATCCTAATGTAAACAAAGCAATTTTTAGGAATGGATTTTTCATTTATTATATTAACATACTTTATTAATTAAACATTGTTTTTTTTTTTGTTTGTTTTTTTTATGGATACCCATATTTGCATAAATGCTCTGTTTATTTCTTAAACATTGCTTGATTTTCATATTTTTCTAATAAGATTTCTCAAATATAAAACTAGTAAATAAATAAATATACTGTTTAATAAATAAACAGACCATCTACTCAAATTTTTTTATGCACTAAAAAGATAACATTTACGTAATAAAAAATATGTCGGATTAATAAATGAAAAATCCATATATATATATATATATATATATATATATATATATATATATATATATATATATATGATTTCTATAATATGCATACTGACTTGCAAAGATAATATGATTTCTATAATATGCATACTGACTTGCAAAGATAAGTGTTCATATAGATTGGAATAACGGTATCAACACAAGAGACACAGCCAAAAGAATTATGAGATCAGCCAATCATGCTACCTTGGTTTCAACCTTTCAGTATCTTCAGGCAATATGGGCCAAAAATAAAACCAAGGTAGCATGATTGGCTGATTTCATAATTTTTTTTTTAATTAAAAAAACTCTGCATGTTAAATTTTTATGTTTTAGTTTCTTTATATGTATATTAAGCATTTATTAATACAACTGTTTCCTGGTCTAATTTAACTCTGACCAATGTTTTTTATATATATATATATATATATATATAGTAAAAGTTTGATGTTACCTTCAGCATCCTGACTCCAGAGTTTCATAGATGGATACATCCATCCACCTCAAGGGTTATCAGCAACTGAACGCTTATATTTCTCAATTTTTTTTTTATACACTTATCATTTGTGCAACATTTTTCCACATTGTTTGTGTGCATTTGCAAACAAGCAACCATGCGCCCATCTGTGCAGATGTGCATTCACAATATGTGTGTGTGTATATATTGTTACGAACTGGTAGCATATAGATGAACCACGGGTTTAAAAAAAAAAGGAAAACGTGGGATCTTTTCTCGGTCTTCACTCAGAAATGGAAGCGACACAAGGGAATCAATGAAGAACAGACACAAGATGATGGATTTCAAAATGAAGCATTTATTTATAAATTTATATAAACTGATAAAGAAAGAAAAAAAAGGAACATTCATTTAACAAAGGGGAAGGGTATCATTAAAGAACAGAAAGCGCAAGCGAATACATACATATATAAAAACAGATCAAACCAAGAGAATCAACTTATCTTTCAGTCGAGCTGATATTTTCACACAAAGTTCTGATGCACCGAAGCGAGAGTTCTGATGCTAAAACAACATTTTGGCCGGCTGGCAATTTTCCTGGATTTCTTTTCTTTCACAATTGTTCGAGGGACCACAGCATCTCGTACAGGCGTTTGGTTGGGTTGATTCAGTTTCATAGCAGTCCTTTCACCCCTAGTCAACAGACTTTGCTGTCTTCTTCATCTCAGTGGACAGTCTGTTTTTGGAATCGGAGCGAGTTGCCCAGCGACATTCAACTGCTGCTGGTCAGAGGGAAACTGAAAATCCTTTTTTTGATTTTTGCTGTCCCCAAAGACAGTCATGTGTGTTCCCTTCGTCCTTGACCGGGTACACAGGAGGAAGGGGCGCAAATCACGCAGTGTTTGTGCGATGACCAAAAGTTCAATACAGGCTTAGTATGTTCTGATCACGTGAATTGCAGCAGGAGATCCTGATGGTGCCTGGAATTCACTCATGGTCAAACGCCTGATAGCTGCGAAATCTTGGAACCAGGTCATTCTTGCGTCAGGTCACTTCAAAGTTCACGGGCCCTTGGCTTGTGGGTGGAAGAGTAGATAAAGAGGGAAAGAATTTATGAAGAGAAGATGAGGGTGTGGCTGATCATGGAACATATTCGCTCACAAGTTGAAAGCATTGGATTAAATTTCTATATTTATTTATTTATTTATTTTTCTTTTATATCTAACTAATTTTCGCCTAGAATTTAAGATTTTACTTTGGGGTGCTTTTTAGCCTAACACCTATATGGTTAATGAAATCGTGGCTATGTGACAATATATATATATATATATATATATATATATATATATATATATATATGAGGTGTGCATGAAAAAAATATATCTTTTTATGCAAATACATAGCTTGATTGACATCTCTTGATTTCTATATATGCATACTGACTTGCAAAGATAAGTGTGCATATGGGGTGGTATAACTGTATGAACACAAGAGACACAGTTAATGAACAAAGTTTGAATTGAAGCTAAGTATGATTTTGTTTACTTGACACTAATGTCCTAGGGATGAAAGATATTAATTTACTTCTCACTAAATTCTGTCCTATCACTAGATCTATCTTGACAAAACTTTCTTGTCACAGACATATCACCACTTTTGATGGAGAAATAAGTGTGCACTTGAGCAAACTACTCACCACTACTTGCCTAAATAGTAGCAGTGGCTTAAAGCTGTTACTCTCATTTTTAACCATGACACGGTTCCTAATTCATTCACTGTATATGTGTAATTGAATAGCCTGATCATTATTGTCTTGCCACCTGACTGAATTTTTTTTCTTTTCTTTTTTTCTAGCTTATCAACAACCTGATCTTGTTTACAGTTCAAAAGGTCATTTTTTAACACACCCAGCACCAGGCCAATCACTTATGAGTTTCCTCTCCTCTCAAGATTTCCACACATGTGCAAATCTGGACAGGGTATGACATTATTCACTGAAGACATTTTTTTGAAGTCATTTACTCGTTATTATTTTAGCTTTTTATCTTTGCTCTGATTCATTAGAATTTATCCCAGTTTGTCTTTTTTTTTTTTTTTTTTTTACAAAGAAAAATATTGCAACTGAAAGTTTATATTTTTTTTTTAACGAAAATTTTGTATTTTTTTCTTGTAACATTGGCAGATAAATGCAAAATATGTATCAATTCAAAACACCTTTGTTAATCTACAGGTGAATGTATTTTGTTCACCCAATGAGGAACAAGCACTTTTTCTGTTTGAAACATTGGTCTAAACACTGAACTAAGATTATATTTAAAAACAAATCTCAAACACACTAGAAATTTATTAATAAACACTGAAATAAATAGTAAATCCAGAATACTTTAGTTAATGTATTATTTACAGTTAATTAGACCCATAGAAATTCTGCAATGCATCTTAGCAGTTTAGTGCACAAGTTAATATATTTACCAAAGAAAAAATTAGATGCTATTATGCATTAATTATGATTTATTTAGACTCGTTTCATTGTCTTTGTTGTCTCCTTTATAACATTTAAGATGCTGTATCTGTTAACTTTTTTGGAAAAAGTCCCAAATGAATCAATGTATGATAGCGAAAGAACCTTATCTCAAAATTCAGGCCAAAAATATTTACTTTTAAATATTGGCATTTATTCATTTCTAGAAATTATATATGATTAATGAAAGATAATCATTGTCATTTATTTTAATCTTTTTTTTTCTTTTTTTTTTTTCAAAGTTTTACTAGTGTGTTGGCTGCTATATGACAATACCTTAATGTTTAATATGTGGTAGATTTGAGTACGCACTCTGAAACAATAAGGACCTTGTCCAGCAATCATCAGTTTGTTTATCTCTTTTCTATTAAACATAACATCTTTTGTGCTTTAAGCATATGCACTAGCTTACTTGTCAGTATGTGTGCGCACATATATATATATATACACAGAATTTCTCAGTTATTTAAGGACATTTGTATGAATTTAGTAAAAAAAAAAAAAAAACACTTAAGTCCTGAAAGAAGAGCTTTATTTAAGAAAAAAATTGGTATGAATAAACTTGTCTCTTTTTGAGGAATATATTAAATGAATCTTCTGTTAGCATAAATGACTGCTTAAATAGGGGTTCTAAAGCATTGGCATGCTCTAATCAGGTGATTTTTTTTTTTTTTTTTTTTTTAATCTATTTTGGACATTGTGCTAGTTATGGAGAACTTCAGAGATTTTATAGTGTTATGGGGTTGTTGTTTGACTTCCCTCTCAACTATGTCTCATATATAGTAGTGCAATAAATTCAGGTCTGGAGAACTAGGAAGCCATATGTTTGGGGTACCATGGTCATGGAGATTGTAACTCATCCATTCTTTGGTTGTCTTTGCTTTATGAGATGGCACAGACTTTTATTGGTAGACATACAGCCTTCCTTTTCTCATGCTTCCTATCTTAGGTTTCACAACTCTCTCTGACACCTCCTTATAATCAGCAGCATTGACCGTTAAGGCCTAAGGATAAAAGTGAGGAGGCATGACATCTTGTTGCTCTCAACTTCCAGAACCATCACAGTTACCACCAAATTTGTGGTGCTTGACCATTTGAACATCCTTAGGGTTTCTGCATAATAATGTCATTCCTTCAGTTGACCTTTCAGTACTGAACAGAGGTTTTCTCAAACCAAAGCATTCCAGGCTCTCATCATTTAAATTTGCTCAACAAGCACTTTGCACAGATCACATGGTTATCTTTTATCTGTATAAACATAAATTGGTTTCTCCACATTACATATGACTTGTATTGATTGTCCCCATGCACAATTCTTCCAATAGAGTGCCTTGAAATCTTAAGCTACTTTGCAATGGCATTAATTGATTTTCTGGGGTTCTTATTGACAATTTTCTGCACCTTTCATTCAAATTTGGGTTTTCTGGTGGTATTAGTACTTTTAGCAAATGTTTTACATTTGGCTACTGCTGTAGAACCTATCAGCAGCTTTCAGCTCTTTGTGAACTCTGACAGAAAACAGCCATGCAATTTTCAGGAAGCGAGCAATCTCTAAACCACTATGCTCTGCCTTTAAAACAATGATTATAGCATGCCTTTTCATTTGCTGAGTTGGTTTGATGTTTGTTATCATTTATCTGAAAAGAAATGATAATCAGAACAAGTTAAAAAAATGTTTGAACTATTAAAAGATGTGTACTCAAAGAACTGACCAACCCTGTATACGCACACACACACACACACACCATTCTTATCTACTTGACTCTATTGCTTGAACTCTTATATCTCTCACATTATCAGTCATATTTGTTGACAACAGTACTTGTTGTAGAGTTAAGTCAGTGTCGGTAATAGTTTTTAAATAGAAAATCTGAAGATACCTACAGAGTTTCTCTGATTAGCGGTGTTACTGAGATTTTTTTTCTTAAAGATGCATCTTACATAGAGAAAGGTATGATGAGTTTTTTAAATGATGGGGTGTGTGTGTGTGTGTGATTTCTAGATCCTTGATTCAAACTTATTTTTGAGTTGATGTATCTTTGGCCCAGTGTATAGAAGTCTCTCTCTCCTCTCCTTAGCTGGTCTACCCCATATATATATATATATATATATATATATATATATATATTTATATACGTTTCATTAAATAATATAGACAAGTGTTGTCTATTTATTTTATGCAAATTTTGTTCATAACATCTGATAAGTTTGATAACATTATCATTAAACAAAGAAAGAAATTCACAATATTGATCCATATTTTTTTAATATAATCTAAGCTTTCGGCTTACTTAAGCCATTATCAAAGATGTAAATTACAAACATATTAAACAATATACGGACACGACATATATATATGGTTCCTTTACCTATCTTATTGTTAATGTCAATTAAAGTTACACTGCTCAGTCAAGATTCATTTTGAAACATTCCACCCACATACACACACACAAAAATACCATTCCAATATTTTATCTTGAACTGAAAATAAGCAAGATAATATGTGGTAACTTTTTTTGGGACATTGTAGAAATAAGTAGATGGAATAGTTCTAAATACATAGAGATATTTTATTTTTTATTATGATCTCTTATTCCTATTGTTACGAAAACAACAGGCATCATTACATGACAGTTATGGATGATTAACAAACATTATAAATGTTAATTAAACGTCTTCTGAATATAAAATTATTCTTACTCTTTAATGGTTTTTCAGGAAAATGCCCATTTTAGCATCTCTGAAATTCTCATCTCTGCTATTGAGCAAATGAAATGGAAGCATGTGATAGCACCTCCAAATTCTTCAGATCTAGAAGATGGTGATTCTGATGAAGAAATCCAACGGCTAAAACAGCGAATTCGGATTAGACGAAGAGAGAGAATGAAAGAGGTAAGTTTCTTTCTGTAACATTCTTGGCATTCTCTTATTACAAATCACAAAAGCTGCGCAGTTGGTAGCAAGAAGAATTTCACACAATAAACAAACCAACACATCAAAGTTTATGACCTTTATTTCATTCATCTGTTGTTCCAAGTATTTCCTTCATATATATATATATATATATATATATATTATTAATTAAAGAATATCAAACACTTAAAATCCCATAGGTAATAATTATTTCATTAGAGCTGAAAAAGCAGCTCTCAATCTTCAAGACCTATAAACAAATCCAAAATCAAGGATTTTTTTGTAGGTTTTGAAGATTGAGAGCTGCTTTTTGGGTTCTAATGAAATAATTATTACCTATGGGATTTTAAGTGTTTGATGTTCTTTAATTAATAATAATTTTGCTCTGTCTTTTGACATAGAGCTCTCCCTGGATCTATATCCTCCTGAAAATTCCATACGGATTACTGTATTGTATCATTACTATATATATATATATATATATATTTATATTTGGTTGGATAGATGTGAGTTTGTGACCCTGGGTTTCACGCTTTAGCGATCATCAGACAAACTGATTAAATTTTGGGTTTATGTCGATTGCGTGTATATGTGGTATTATGGAAGTGGTGGGGGAAACGTCGTCGTTGTGTCATCATACTAACGCAAACATCGATGTATGTTCATACGCCTAATGGAGTACACAGACACATATACATACTTGGTCGTCCATCGGGACTCATACATATATAAACATATGTGGGCAGTTTCGGATATGAAACGCTGAGTTTGATTTTAAATTTTTTAAAGTTTGTGCGTTCATAATTATTGAATATGTAATTATTGAACGTTGCTTTGGCGCGTTCCAAAACCAATAACTCATTTCAATAGCATTTTCGGATACAACAACACATATATTTTCGTTGTCCTCTTATTACTAAGAGAAAAAAAACAAGAACAACATCTATTTTATACCTGAAGATGTCTGTAGGAACAGACGAAAGCTTGTAGTAAAAATAACAACTAATACGGCAGAAATTTATATAAACAAGGATCATTTCATTCATAACGGATTTGGAGGTTTTTGTATACTATTTGAATTGTTTGCGATGATGGATGTCACGCCATTTAAAGCATTAACCTTTGCATTAGTTTTGTGTGAATAATTCATGTATTTGTAAATTGATTGCACGTTTATTGTAATATATATATATATATATATATATATATAATAAAAAGGCTTAAACACTAATATTCCATGGTCATAATTTATTCCATTGGAATCGTAAATATGATCCAATTCATCAGACCTACAAATTCAAAAAGAAAACAGAAAAAAAACAACTCTGGAAATAAAAACAGAATTTAGAGAAAGTGTAAGTATGAGGAGGAGGGAGATTCAACCTTAACAGAGATAATTTTAGGAGAGATGGGTGGAAGGGGTTTAATTAAGAGAAAAAAATGAATGTTGACGGATGTCTAATGCATAAAGATACATTTCGTGGTGACATACACACACCATAGACAATCTAATGTGTGTACATGGGTATATGTATATGTGTATGTGGGTACACGCCTATGTGTATGTATATACATGTATATTTTATTGTGTGTATTCGCATGTGTTTTTGAACATAGAAATATAGGTCCTTGCTGAATTAGATAATCGTTATATTTATCTTTATATATTTATATTTGATTTGTAACTTGTAGTCGATATTAAATACATTCTTAAGAATAAGAGGGAGGGAAAGACGAGGTGGGGGAGAGAGATGGGACGAAGGAAAGTAAAATTGCGTTTACTTAAAGGGCCGCTTTGTAATTGAGAAAATTTGACAAATTTAATATCGACTACAGGTTACAAATCAAATATAAATTCCAATGGAATAAATTATGACCATGGAATATTAGTGTTTAAGCCTTTTTATTATATCCTTACTCTGTCCTAGACATTGAGTTCTACCTGGATTCTTCCTCTTGGATTTTTTTTTCTAAAAATATACATGTATGGGTATTTTTTAGATATATTTTTCATATGTATGTATATTTTCCACTAATATTATCTATCTATCTATCTATCTATATATATATATATATATATATTAATCATTTCACCACAAGTAAGGTGTTAATGGTAGTAAGATGCAAGGGGTTCCTTGCATCTTCTTACCATTATTAGAGAATGAGAAGTTTCATGAGGAGAAAGACAATAAAAGAACAGGGTTCAGGAAGACATGATGGTGATTGGCATTGCACTTAAATTTTTGAAGATTATAAGTGGCAGGGAAGCAAGAAACCTAAAAAAGGGTTCCACATGTGAGAAACATGAAAAAAGAAACGATTAAAATAGAAATTATGGTTATATCAGAATAGCTAAGTTCATTATTAAAATGGTGAGTCCTAGTTGCCAATCTAGTACTACACTTTAATTCATACAGTCAAAGTACCAATAATGAAAGCTAATCAGAACAATTTGACATGAAAATCCATTACTGTTGATTATCTAATAAAATAAATGTGCTTTTATTCATCATGATCTGATAACTATTTATGATTTTGCCATTTTCTCAGGTTCTTTTTTTCCCTAATAATAGACTTGGGGGTTTGGACGCTTTTTTCACAGATTAGAAAGATCAAAATGTGTTTTATGTCCTGATTATAATGAAGTGGAAGTCTAGACCAAATAATTCTGTAAGACTTGTGGATCTTTCATATTTCAAATGATATTTTTTATTCAATTCCTGACTTCATCAATTATTCTTGGCTTGTGTCTGTATAAACAAGCACCCTGGAGCCTCTTGACCAAGATAGGGATTTTACATTTTTGTCTGCAATGCCTGAGCGACCACACCCTAAACTTATCTCTGGTGTGGTTGTTTATATATCTATCTTTGTCATGCATCTCATTCCTATCCTCATGAAAGTGGGTACAGTTGTACTGTCACATGATTCTTGATGGTCTGGTGTAATATTGAATGCAAATTCTATTCTGACATGACACTCCACTACTACAATTTATTCTAATGACCAAGGATAAAATGGAGTTTCATATTTTCCTAAGTGTTACCCAACATTCTATTTTAATATTCATTAATGTAGATGACAGACTGTTCAAAACCTGCTAAAACTTAATTCCTGTCCATTACCAATTCTATTTTTTCTTATTTCCAATATACAATGTGCAAACTGAGTACGTAAATTTGTTAAATTAATTTTGCATTAAAAAATTTGCAAAATCAAGGTTTTTAAAATCAAAGCTTGTTCCTTACCACCATTTTGATGGGGGGGGGGGTCTTTGATGTAGAAGCAATTTTTTTTTAATAATGTTTTTGGCAAATGATGAAATATGAAATATATTTCTAAGGAATTAATGGATTTTATTTTTAATCTTATTACTTTACAATTTACATGTATATTTCTCTTTATTAACATGTTATATATATTTACATGCATATTTTTTATTTATGTTTCAAATATTTACATGTATATTTCTTTTTATTTACATTTTACATATATTTACATGTACTTTTCTCTTTTAATTGTATTTGTAAAGCATTATCTTCTTGGAATCATGAATTCAATGCTTTTCAATTATTATTTGGCCTAAACATGAAAACAACTTTCATCTCGTAATGTTTGTTTGTTTTGTCTTTTCAGAAAGCTCGAGGATTCCCTGCATTCAGTGATGGACGTACTGACAGTGAGTATTTTCATTAGAAAAAAAAAAGCAATACAAGTACATATTTTGTGACACCTGTATTTCCTTATTGATCCGTCCACATACTTAAAAACATTGTTTTTTCAGCTAAGTGTAATATTGCCTTGTCTGTCTTACAGCAGCAACAAAAAAAAACAATCATAAAATCAGATCAGGCATTTGCTGTCTAATGATTAAGAGCTTGGTAGAAAACACAAAATTATTTTTGTAGTTGATAATTCCTGATATTCATTCAGGCATAAGTTGGAGAAAGAAACAAATAAGTCATCTGAATCAAAATAAGAATATGGTTTTCTTATTTCAAATCATTTAATTAGCTCCATCAATGCATCACATAACTCACCTTAATGTTCTCGATTTTGGGAAGCAGAAATATTTCAACAGACATTTTCTGACAAGCTAATGCAATTTGCTAAACTTTCTAATGGTTCATATATATATATATATATATATATATATATATATATATATATATATATATATATATATATATATATAGAGCCCGGTGTTGCCCAGGGATGTAACAGTAAGAGATAGATCAAGTATCGACCATCATAAAGACTTAAAATAAAATGGACAAAGATTATTGTTTAAGGTTGACGGACACGCATGTCTTAATTAGTTTTTTTTTTTTTTTTTTGTTTGTTTTTTGTTTACGAATTGGTCAAACTCAAACAAAAGCATTGTTTTCAATCGTTATGAGTCTACTGATTGAATAGAATTTTATTTTTTTTTATATTTTTAAACAATTGTCTTGTAAATGGAATTTTTAAAGCATTCTGAATGTAAAAATAAAGAACAAAGTGTGCAAGACAATAAAAAACACTACCTGCCAAAACATGCAAAAACAATTGTTTTTCCAATTTTTGGCACTGTCAGAACCATCCTAAAGGTAATTTTCGTAGTCCTGTGAAGTTTTGTTGAAATCGGTTTGAAAAATGTAGGAAACCGATCCAATATATAAATGAACAGACACACACACACACACACAACCTGGGTTTTTATAAGTATGATATATATATATATATATATATATATATATATATATATATATATATATATATATAATGTGCTCTTGGTATGATGGATAGCAGCTCAGAATGAAAAATTGAGAGACAAGTTCAGAAATTCCAGTCAAGTTTATTTACATTCATTTATATACAAATACTCTTGGGAAAAGTATAAATCCATTTCTTTGTCTTCCTCTAGCTATAGGTTAAATAGTAGGGTAGGCTGTGATCTTCAGCATTGGTTGACAACCAGTCTAGGATAACTTTGAATTTAATGCTTCTGTTCAGTTCTAAGAACTAAGCTGCTGGACCTTCATACATCAAAAACAATGGAAGTGTACATCATATATATTTTGACCAAATCCACATAATCATTATATGTACTTAACACACATGACTAGTTTACATCCAAGCATGCCATCCATAACAATATTTTGTATATATTATACTACCAGAACGATAGATATAGAGAGTGTCCTCCCAGAAGTGCAGCATCAAAAATTGTCCTATTCATTCATAATCAAAGTTCAATAAGGAAATAAATAAAAATGTTTTATTCTTATTTTCCATAGCATGTTGAACTTATAGGATGCCGCCCATTACATTACAAATTATGTACAAAATGTTCTCAAATCATAATAGAATAAAAAGAAAAATAAGCACCAAAAAAAGCAAAGTTAACTTTTGTTTCCAATTACTTGATATGTCAAATCTAAATCCAGGGCCTTCTCACTCCTGTTGGAGGAACTCCTCTCTTGGTTGGCCTCCACCATTTCCTAACTCTCTGGCCATACTGGGCCATGTGAGGCTGAGATATCAGGTCAGATTGTTGCAATATCTTTCCTTTGGCTGACCTCTAGTTCTTTTCTACTGCCTTAGTGTCTTGTTTGTCTCTCTAATAGTCCACCTGTTGTCTCTGAGATGAAAGACGTGGCCAGCCAATCTATGTTTGCCCTTCTTGATTGTCTAATAATTATACCCTTCAATCTATCTCAAAAGTTATTGTCACAATACTAAAAACAATTAATCATGGGATTTGTTGCCTATAAGAAAAATTAGAATTAACAGTAAATTTGATGAAAATAATCTCTATAAAATTTTTTGTCAGATTATTTTTTATAAGACACACATAACTTCAGCTCCACCCTAAATCCTCATTACTTTTGACCAACTTTCTACTGTTTTTTTTTTCTAAGAAAACATAACAGAAATAAAATCTGATTTCCAACCAAATTTAATTTAGCCTTTTTGCCAAACTAAGTAAAATTATAATTTTGAACTGAAGAAAAAAAGTAAATCAACAATAAAATGCTGTCAGCTTTATACCAGCTGATTTGAAATTCATTATACATCCTGAAAACTTTAATTCTTAACTGTCAGAAAATTCTGTGTTATTTTTTATCTTCACACATTTAATGTATTTTAACATATCAACAGTTCATGTGTATATTTTTAGATCTGCTTTAAAAAAGGAAAAAATAAAAAGCTAAATTAATATTTTACTGCTGCAAACTCCAGAAAAAAGTTAATCCCAACAAGAAAGAGAAGCAGGACTTAAAACTTTTTATCGTTAGTGAGTTTTACCTCAAAATAATACTTCTTTTTGCAAAGATCTATTGACTATTAACTGAAATGGACATAAAATACTGAAAAATATAATTATGAAAAGTTTGTCTGTGCATTATTCACAGTTGAACCATTTCTTGTAAAACTCAAATTTGAGAAGGTTTTGGTTTTTTTTTTTGGTTTTTTGGGGTTTTTTTCAATATGAAAAATGAAGATGTCTACATCTTTCCTGTTATATGGAAATATTTTTTATAGTAACAATGATTGCTTGCACCCATTTAGTGTAAGACTATAATTCAGCTTATATTTTATGTTTGGGTAAGAAAAATCTTTGTATGTATTTGATGTCTGCTTATGCTTTCCTGCATGAATTTTCAAAATTGTATTCTGCTGTTCTGGCTTCAAATTCTGCTGCCAATTTACCTGTTAATTTGGTCCTGCATTTGACGAATGACAATTTAATATTTACAGTTTTATTTTCTGTAAAATGTAACTTGCTCGCTCCACATTGATCCTTTGATTTTAAGATTACTGTCTTTGCAAGGAGAACATTTCTAACTGCTACAGGATTCATAGGATATATATATATATATATATATCCTTATTTCTACTTATTTTCTTTGTGCAGATATTTTAATCCTCCAAAATGCTGCCAATTTCTAATCAATAGAATTTCATGATATAAATGTAAACTGCTTTTAAAGCAAGAAATACCAGAACTGTTCATTAAATATTCTACACATTTAATGTGGATCAGTGTTTGTTAGTATCAACTGATATAGACACCCAGGTGTCTGCAATATAATTAAGGGAAAAAAATAAATATTTATAAATTATATTTTATGCATTCATCTTCAAAGCTGATAACAAAGTTGAGTTTTTATCATATAGTTTATTGAAAAACAGAAACTAATTATTTTATGATAAATTGTTCCAATAGACCTTCTCTGTAAAATATGAATACAATCATTGAGAGAAATCATCAGGATTTATTTACTCTTTTAATCAATATAAATGAACATAGATATAAAGTCTGTAGTTAAAAAGAAAAAAAAAAATACCAAATGCATATTGAATGAACTGAAGTCCATTGTCCAGCCCACAAGCTTTTGGCTGAGTGGCCATGGATTTACACTTCGTTTATAAATGATTTTATTACTTCAACAACTAATTTTCCTAAACCAGTATATTTTCTTCATTGAAATTTGCTATCTTAATATTTCTTTAAATTCAATTGTTAGAAATCATAATTTTTACAAATAGTTGTTAAGTAAAACTATTAACAACTTATAAAAATTCTCTTATTACAATTATTGATACAATTTCACATAAAAGGTAATGTTATTTAAGTACTGAAATAGAAGGTAAAAGTTTATAAATTGTACATTATTACACTGCAAATTCAGATTTCTTTACTGGGATGAAAACAATTATGCCTCAGATGAGTTCTCTTGTTTTAAATATGACTCTACAGACATTGAAACTAATTTCCGTAAATATTCAAATATTAATAATTTATATTGTTATTCCTTTGTGGTGTTTATAACCATTTTTAGTTGCCAAACATTTTTGCCTGCTTTGTTTATTATTGAAAAAAAAAAACAAGTGATGAAGTCTAAAACAAAAACTTATGCTTTATAAACACAGACATAATGTATTATATAACTTGTGGTTTTATAGGTAAGATTTATTAAACAAATATATCAGAAAGCTTCCTTCACTCTAATGAATAGCAACAAAGCAAATTCTAATTGAGGAAGGAAAGAAATGAAACCATAATCACTGCTTCTTTCTTTCTTTTTTTCAATAAACTGCCACTACATCTAAAATACATACACACACACACACACACACACACACACACATATATATGGTTTGGGATTTTCTTACAATCCATTTTAATTGTAAAGTGGGTTAAGCCAAGAATGTTTTAACCTCTCTCACTCTAGTCCTTGTTTGCATCAAGGAAGGTGCAGATTGGCATAATGCTTAACATCATAGAAAATTAAATATGTTTGCATTCACATCACACTGATGCCTTTGAGAAAGTATTAATCTCACCCCAGCTTTGGTTAAGTAACAGAGCTGAGCTCTCTAGCTTTGATTGTCAACCAGTCTAGGAGAAAGCCCACTCTGATTCCAAACCAGTTATAGAATCCCTAAGTCTCAATGTTGAAAAACTAATGCTTTTCTGGCAACACCTATAGCCAAAAATGGATGCCAGTTGTGACATGTCAATGTATCACAGGACAAAAACAACCTTGCAGGCCATAACAGTGATTTAATCACCCCTCCTTTTTGAAAGACAGGCATAGGTTGCTGCATAAATCTTCTGTTCTCTACATGTACAAGCATCATTAGAAAGATAATCAACTAATGAGAACTATAAAAGCAAATAGATATAAACGCATATGATAATAAAAGGAAAGTATTTGCTAAGTTATTAAGTCAATATGAAAGGAAATTTAATGCTTGAAATCAGCCTGAAAATAATAAAAATTGGATATGATAAAATTATCAGCAAAAACAAAATGGATTTTAACTTGCATGTATTCATGAATTAAACTAATGCCTTATCTCAACAGAATAGAATAAAGTTTGCCGTTATAGTCTATATTTAAAAATGTGTGAACACAATGATACAGCATGTAAATATTCATCATACATACAAACAGGTTCATTAAACAACTACTTAGGAAACACCTTTACTCACAGTGGCATTTGAAAAAAATTGTGACTATTTTAATATAATGTTTCTTCAGTTACTTTATAAAAAAAACACTTTGTATAATTGATGTCTTAGATTTGAATTGGAAAATTAAAAAAATAAAATATCATTAAATTTCAAAAATAAAATATTATTAGGTTTCAAGTTCTATGCTCAGGATTGTCGCACAGAATAATATCTTTATGGGTTAAAGTGTTGGTTTGTGAATTTGAGTGATATAATAATTGTTAGCTTAGCTCCTTAGTCGGATAGTACAGATTTAGATGAGCAATAACTGAGCAGTACTAAATAAGAATGAGATGAAATATTCAAGGACTGCAGAATAAGAACAATCTATCTCTCTAGATTAAATAAAGGTTTTACCTCAAAATTTCCTGAAGATTACCTGGATTGACAGACACCTGAGCAAGGTTGGAGAGCACAACATCCAAAATATTGTGATCAATATTCATTTGTGACATTAAATTTTTGTATTGATTTTAATAGTAAAAATATCTTAACTGCCGGCACTTGTAGAATCAAATTCAAACTTGATAGGCATGTTATTTGTAATTACAATGTTGGCAGTTTTTAATTTTCTTTAGTATATTGTAATTTCCAAAAAACTGATTGGGTCAACAGGTGAAATGTATTGTTTAATGATGCATCATATATCAAATTCATCTTTATAATTTTTGTGTATCTGGTTGAAGCAAAAGATAATGTTTTGTTGTAAAATATTTTAATTGTTGGCATTGTTTAATTTCTGCAGGAATATCTTTATTTAGTTATCAATAATGTAGCTGGAAAATTATTATTAACCAATGTTATCTGTTTGAGTTCATAAAAAAATATTCTCCAGGAAGAGCAGATTTCTGCCACATTAAATGAAACATGGATATGTCATCATTGGCTGTCTTTTGAAGATACCCCAACATGAAATTACGACTACATCCCAACAAGTATAACTTAGAATTACTACTACTTCTATACAATATAACTTAGAACCTAAACACAAGAAAGCATACTAACAATGAACCACTTGAAAATGTCTAATGAATTGGCTGAAAGCACTTGGGACAATAATCACTATGGACAGTTTCTATGCTCCCTTAGTCTTCCAAAAATGGAAAACTATCAGAACATTAGAAAAAAAAAATCAAAAACTTATAAGGTTTTTTTTGTCCATCACATATCTTTATTAAAACATATTTCAATAAAGATATGGTGCCTAAAATATATATATATATATATATATATATATATATATATATATATATATATATATATATATATATATATATAAATATTTTAAAAAGAGAACCCATGCTGTCCTAATTTTTTCATTTAAAAGTAACAAAAAAAAAAAAAAGATTGAAATTTTGCAAGTAATTTCATCACTTGTTTTTTTCTTTTTTGTTTGTTTTATGAATCATGATGCATGTTGTTGTTTTTGTTTCACTGTTGTCTGATTTTGGCTTCATCGTCAGCACCATCCCCATCAGCAGACACCTCCTCCACCAACACATCCTCCTCCTCCTCACCTTGTACAAGTATGCTGCCTCTTTTGCAATCAGGTGCGTACAATGCCTTAGTTGCTACTTAGACTCTCTCTCTCTGTCTCGTGTGTGCAGTCACAAAAATACTTACCTATTTTACTAATTATTTGGGTTAGTAATCTTTTCATTCACTTTTCTTTCTTCAGTTCCAATTCTATCATTATTTTCTTTATACTTTTAAAAAAGCAAAGTAAAACTTTCCATGATTTTACAAACATTTCTTTACTAATATTTCAGATATGAAAATATGAACCTAAACAATTCAGAAAATAATAATAATTATAAATTAATTTTGTTAAATTTCTTTGTGAAATTTATAGTAATTTACTAAGGTTAATCTAGCATAAATTCAGAGTCATTGGATACTTGATGGCCAAATTAGTGATTTTGGTCTATGAGGTCAGCTAACTAACCTTTAGTCTACAGTAAACACCTATTATTTATATGTTCTTATGTACGAAATAAAGTACTGGCACAATTATTTGCTTCAACTTCTACCTGTATATATGGTCCATCACTAAATATGCTGGAAAAATGGCCCGTTCTCTGTACCCCCCCCACACACACACACCTTCCAAATAGAACCTGTCATGCCCTGTTTTTACAAAAGCCAGATCAAATAAAAAATGGAATATTGATTCCACATCTGGACTGGAGCTGCCCAATTCTTACTTTCCAGCCCCAACAGTGCTCAAAAGTGTTTGTGCAGTTTTGTGAGCAATGAATTGTTTTCCACCCTACAACCACTTTCCCCAGAGACAAAACATTGCTAATCTCTCACTACTCTATTACTATTTTCATGGCAGATGTTCAGGCAAACTACATACCTTAGTTTCACCAGTCCAGATGTTCACAGCCACATACACTGAGCTTGAATCATCCTCATTCCCTTCATATTTCATTGGTGAAGAGGAAGTTCCACTCAGACAGATTCTTCCCCATGAGTGTTGCATTGTGGAATGCACTACTAAGAGGTTGCTTCTCCAATCAATTTTCAAGTCTCAGCTTAACCGTAATCTGACATACCCTTATAAAATGCACCTCTTGCTCCCTCCCTATACACCATTAGAACAATCTAATTTACTAATGCTCTACCTTGAATGGCTCTAGGGCCTTGTATTGGGTGAACAATATTTTTTTTTTTTAATCCAACCAGTATGGTCATTATTTGCTTATTTTTCAAATAAGTTTTCCTCATGGCACAATTATTTTCCCCCATGTTTATTGTATAAAAGTTTCTGGTGGAATGATTATTTGAAATTTTTATAATTTGAATAATTCCCTGCCACCTGACTATTTGAGACTACACTTATATTTGGTAGAAATGACCATGCACATGTTTATTAATAGAAAATATATAAATAAAATATATATTTAATATATAAATAATATAAAATATATAAATATTCATCTAAAAATAATTTGGTTAAAACTATTTTTTAATTTTTAATTTGTTTCCAATAGCCAATTTAGCTGATACAAAATACTACATTTTCTAGTATCAAGTACTTTTGTGTACTAAATACAAGTGTCAACATGATTAAATTATTTCCTTCAATACATCCACCACCAACACAATGCATATTTAGTATGACACATTTATTTTTCAAATACTTTTTTGTGTGACATTATTATTTTGTTCCAAAAATCATACCACGTGTAAATAACCACCCTCACATTTGAGATATGACGTGTGATTCTGAAGATAGGGACAGATTACAGGGCATATTGATACAACATTTGCAAAGAATCTTATCCCAAAACTTGGAATTTTAATATCTCAACACCCTGAGATCAAGACTAGACTTCATGCATAATTTACTTCAGAGATCAGTCTCTGAAGTAAATTTGGAAAACCAGATTTTTCTTTGATGGAATATTCGGACAAAGAAACCCAGATTTGAAGGTGGGAATGGTAGACACATGACCAGCTCTCGTGATCACTAAGTAAAGAAATAATGAAGCTTTTGATAATTTAAATTCCTGTGACCTTGTTCCCTTTTTTATACCTATTGCTCATCCTTAAATGTCTATATGCTGTGTCTTACCAACATACAGAGGATGAGGATTTAATCAAGGATCAGTTTCCTCTGCCATCAAAAACCAAATTCAACATGCATTTTTCACTATGCATCATAACATGCTTTTTACATGCAGAGTCCATGATGACATAAATTTTATCAAATTTTATGATTTCCAGCTGAAATATTTTTACTTTCTAATTTTTTGGAGCTTTGCTAATTTCTGCTCCATCTTACAAAGTTAAATCTAAATCAGCTTCAGGCTTGCACCCTATTGTTTCTCAGCCATATCCATGTACTAATTTAACTTCTCCCTCCTATGCTAGTCTTCCTAACTAATTGCTTTTACTAATCACTTTTGTTGTTCAAGACTATATTTTCACTATTCTGCCACCAACTACCTTTAGTGCCACAGTGAATAATTATTTGAAGATAATTATTTTTTCTAAATATTCCTTGCCAAATTAGAAGTGTGTGTTTTATGCTACCAAATGTGTTACAAATAAATTTCTGTAATAAAAAAACATTTTGTATTAGTATTCCAAAAATGATTTCTCTTAATTTTACCATTATTACTAACAACAAAGCTTATGATCGTATCATATTGAAACATTGGTTTTCATCCAGTCACCAAAGTTAAGCAATGTTGAACTTGGTCAATACTCAGATGGGTGACTTCTGAGGAATACCAGGTGCTGTAAGCTGTGACAGGCTTAGCAAACCAGTGCTAGATACAATCTCACTACTTATACTAACAGAAGACCTTGATGTATGGAGGTGCTTCTAGACTAACAGGCTGCAAGCCCTACCTATAGTTTGATGAGATATGCTAACAATATAGAAAATGACTTGAATTTGGTGTTTCTGTGAAGAAACCTTATGAAAAAATCTTTGGATTATTTTAATTTTTTGTGGGATACTCAGTTTTGGGAAGAATCAAATATTAAGATATTTATGCACACATTTTGTAACAATATGGAACATTTTGTTCTTTTGAAAAACTTTAATTTATTTCTCATTTTTAAAATTTGTTTATATGAAGTAACAATTGAATAATTTAAATTAATTCAATTTGATCCTTTGCTCTTAATAAATAACAGAATAAACCTTTTTTTTAATTGTTTATAATTAATTTGATACTATTTTCTTTGGAAATCTACACTTGATTATTTCTTATTTTCTGTCAGATTTTACTGTCAAATAATTACATAGACAAAATTATCATTTCCAATTGTGGCTCAGAGCAATGACACAGTTGATTTAATAAGATTTTGCTATTTACCTCCAACTTGGAACATGAGGACTGATTATGGCCAGAAAATACTGCACAAATTTTGCTTCACCAATTTGCTGCCTTTATTTGCATGATGCATAAAATAAACTAATAAGTACTTTTATTGCCTGTTTAACATTTTTAAAAATAGGACTTCGTTCCACAAAATGACTTACAATATTGAAATCATCCAAGTGAAGCACTACTGAAAATATTTTTGTAAATGTTTCCTAATTTTTATTTCAATCAAAGAGAACAATTATGGCAAATGTAATCATTATTTTTAACCTGAGAAATATATTTTGTACCTATTAAATACAAAATTAACTCTCTTCCAATTTCTTGCTTTCCAGTCAAGTTTGATCTTAAAAAATTTAAATGTAATGTCAATCATTATCATCTGTCATCTTAATTCTTATTCTTTTATTGTTCTCTCCCCTTAATAATGTTTTTTACACTCAGTAACTCTTTGCATTTTTGTGGCTTTATTGCCTTGCTTGGAGTGAAATGATTACAAAAAAAGTTTCAATAAAAAAATTAATAATTTTAAAATATAAAATATAGACTTGTGGAAACTGTAAGCATTTAATGTAAACTATAAAAACTAATATTGAACTAATTATAACTGTTCTTCACATGAAGATTTCATATTGTATTTGTCAGTAAAATGCTTAGTATATTTTTCTTTGGAAGACTTACAAAAAATATTCTGGTGAATATGTTTTTTGCCCAAATGTTATTATTATAACTTGTCATCCAATTTGATTTGTTGATTATATGCTTGTCTTGTCTGATCTCTATATGTTGAGTGCTCTCTTGACTCTTACAGATTATTTCATATATTTTCATACATTTTCTTGCCTCTTCATTTCTTCATGGGACATTAAAGAAAATCACTGACTCTAACTTGTCAGTAAGCATGAACTCTGAGCTTTACAATAACACCATTTAAACTGTTAGCACAAAAGATTATGAGAATGAAAAGCAGTAGTGAATGAACTGACATTCTCATCTTTGCTCAATAAATTTCTAATTCCAACTTTTCATTTGTAATCAGCTTTTGAGCCTCTTTCCCAAAAAACAATACAAATTCACTGTCTATATTTCTGAAATGAGGTATTGTAAATATTTATGCCATCTACATCGTTTGGACCATTATCCTCGTCATTATTATGATCTTAATAAAGACGAGGACAACAGTCCAAATGATATAAATAGTTTAAACAAATTAACTAATCTGATGGTTTCAACATGTCTGATCTCTCTTCAGCTTATTTCAGATTGGTTCAGAAACAGCTTTTTGTTTTAGCTGACTGTCCAGCAAATTCATTCATTTGTCTCATACAGTGGATCTTTCTTTAAAATCTTTAGAATTAATATCTATCTATATTTCTGAGATGAGGTATTACGTACATTATTTACATTATTTACATTATTTGGACTATTGTCCTTATCTTTGTCGCCATATTTATTACAACGTTTCAGCCGTTGTATGCTCCGGCCTTCTTCAGGTGGTTGAAATGTCGAACTGAACCCTTTATTTTGCTCACTGTTCTAGTTTGTTTAATGGATGTCAGTTATCAGTTATCTCCTGTTAATTTCCCTCTGGAAGTTCTCCACTGCCTATTGAACTCACACTCTTTGGGTCCTGTCACTGGATCTAACCAACACCTTTATCCACTGTGCTATGTGCCCTTGAGGACATCTGTGTATGAATTTCTGGGTATTATAAACCTAATGTCTCAGCAACCATTTTTACCAGTTGTTGTTATCGCTTTTCTCTGGCACTCCTCATTAGTGGTTCCCATATTGCATTCATTTCTATGCTTGGTCGGCTCAGGAGATTTTTGTGGCCTAGCATATGTACTGATTCCTTATGTTTACGAATTTTCCAATGGTGTTTCTTATCTATGATCTCAACCTGATCCCACGGAGGGTGATGATCTCCCTTCTCTCTCCATATGTAGTCAGCCACGCCTGATTTTTCCACTTTCCCTGTTAGAATTGTTAAAAACAATATTGCATATTGTCATAGCAATGCTTGATTTAATTTTGTTGTTGTTGTAATTTTATGATTTCTTGTGGAATCTCAATAATTAAATCTTTCTTTCATTTCTCTCTTACAGACAGTTCTGAATCAAGTGATGGTATTGATGATCAGGAGATCGAATTGTCAAGTACGTTAAAACTGATGAGTTTTTCATTGATTCATTGAAAATTTATAGTAAATTTTATTCACCACATAAAGTCAAAATGTTTGGGTCAATATTTAAATGTTTCTTAAAAATATTTTTCTTTTCATGTAAAAAAAAAAATTCATCAATTAAAGCCAAAATGAAAACAATACATTTTCCTCCAAATTTTATAAAGATTTACAAGATGACATGATCTCAATTTCTCCAAAACTTATTCAATGTCATTATTTTTCTTCCTGCAAAAGAAAAAAAAGCTATAAAACCTGAGTTACTTTAGAAATATACTTAATTTCCACTTCATTTTTGCATTTACCCAAATGTTGGATTACTATTTATATTGAGTGCATAAAAGAGACTATAAAAGAGACTATTTATAACCCATAAATTGTCACCATCCTATTTTGGGGATGGTGCACATACATGGAGAGAAACCTAGTTTTTATTTAAATTTTATTTTATGATAGACATTAATGGGTTAAAACCAACAAATACTACAAAATTATCTTCTTCACTGGTAGATGTGAATAAAGTTCAAGGATCAACAACTTCAGCATTGATAATTAGCGTTTGTTCTACTTTTTACTCTTTTTATTGCAGTTACAGACCGATCTGAAAATAGTTCCTTACTAAAGAGTAGCGGACTATCTTTGTCTATGGCCTCTCTCTACTCGGGTAAGTAAACTAGTCATTTAGAAAAATGATATATAAATTTTTATATATTGGAACAATTTTAGGAAAATCTATGACAAAGTGGAAAAAATGTTTCATGTGATGCATTTCATCCTTTAGGACTTCATAAGATAAGAATTCTCAAATTATCTATTGACTCTTAGCATTTGTGAATAATTTATAAAATTACTTTTTCTATGGGCAGCAATACAAAGCCTCTTAATCTTTTCATCATAATGAGATATATATGTTCCAAGAAAACACGTTAATCTTGCCAGTTGTTAAATAATTCCAGTTCTTTGTTATATAATAATACTGTTGTGACATTTTTGTCCCGTCATTAAAAAAAATTGTTTAAAAACACATTCATTCTAAAGAGTATTACTTATAGAAGGTTTTGTGAACTCATTAATATGTTACAGAATGTGAAGGCTAGTTCAGAATAGCAAGCAGTTGGTCAGGATACCTAATAGGCATGGAATTCTGACTGATAGTTTGCTTTTGCCTAAGTTTTGGATATAAGACCAAAACACTGCAAAATTGTCAGGGGGCTGCAAGAATTTTAAAGCATCTATACACACCCACATTCCATAGGCTAAGGCCTGCATGTGTGGGATACTAAGTGAACAAGTGAGCACACATTTCCTGGAAGTTCTAGAATTGATGCTACCACTCCTATTCTTCTCATATAATAAAACGAATAAAAAAAAAAAATGTAACTGACTTTCATGTATACAGTCTATGAAGTAGCATTGGTATCCAAAGAGCTGAAGCTAGTAATGACAAAATGTAACAATAAACTACTTACATTATTTGGACTGTTATCCTCATTTTCTTTGCCATATTCACAACATTTCAGTTATTGCATGCTCCGGCCTTCTGCAGGTGATTAGAATTTCAAGCCAAACTCTTTATTTTGTTCACCTGGGTAGATTGTTCTAGTTCCATGTCACTTCCGCATGTCTCAGTTATTCCCTTTTAACTCAAATCTCCAAGTTTTGGTTCACCACTGCCATAGCCAGGTATTGAACTCACAACTCTTTGGGTTTAATCACTGGATCTAACCAACACCTTTATCCACTGGGCCATATGCCTTATATGTGATAGGGATTCTTATGAATCTTTAAACCTCATAATGAACAATAAACGTTGTTTTATCATTGAAGATATGTAAAATTTAACTCTTTCAATTTTGTTTTTTCTTTGATGTCATATCAAACTTTTCCGGATTACTTAATGTCAGTGGACTTGAGAAACCTATTTTTCTAAAAAATTGTTTTAAGAGAAAGATTGGATAAATTTCAATCAATAATAATACTAGCTGCTCGATCAATGAATGCCAAATGTTTCCTTATAAGGAAACAGCTAATATTACCGTTATTATTTCAGATTTTAGAGCAAAGGTTGAGGTATAGAGTCATGTTCCTGAAATATGTGGATTTAAATAAGTATTTCATTTTAGGATAAAAGGCTTTTTACATATTCCATTTGAGAACGTCACAAAAACAACCCATAGATATTTGGTAAACTAACCTGAGACTCCATTTGGGAAACGCTCAATGAAGATGAAACTCACTGTCTATGTCTTAACAGATCTCTTCAATAACTTTTGAACTATTACGGAGTGTATCCATGTGGATATTTCTCCATAAGCTTTCCTCCTTTTTTAATTATCACTTCATCCTGAGTAAGGCAATAATGCCACTAAGATGCAAGGTGCTACCGGGAATGAAAAAGAATGAGAAGACTTTAGAAAGAATCAGATTCCCAATCCTAAACAGGAAACAACTACTCCTGTTCAAAAGACCTGGGAGGAGTGTGAACTGGGTGACAAGCAAACCTATCTACTTCTCTTGAGGAAAAAAAACAGAAATAAAATAAAAAAATAAATAATAAATAGAATTAACAAGTTTAAGCAAAGACGTTGTATATAAGAAATCGGAGATAAAAGATAGAAGGAAAATAAAATTAAGAACAATAAAATGGCTATTGGAGAGTTTAAAAGCATTGGATGGAGACAGTTCTGAAGAACAGTCTTGTAATTAATATTTGATCTACAAAATTAGACAATGACTTGTTATCCAGCTAGGTGTGTGTTAGTGAGTATATCTGCTTAACAACAAACTTGACTGAATATTGAATGCATTCATTTTTGAATGAGTTTAAAACACATTTTCACACTCAGAGTTTAAGATCCACACATTTCTCGCTTGCTTTTTACAATTATTACTGTTGTTATTGAGAGCAATGCGTATTTTTATTCAGTCATACTGACGTGTTTTTCTCCTTTCTGTTTTTTATTTTTGTAATGCTCGTTTGGAGGAGAAACTTTGTAAATCACTAATACAATAATAATTCAAAAAATACTCAGTCAGACGCCACCAATTCCCATATATATATATATATATATATATATATATATGGCTCCTCCCCTTTGAGATGACTTCCTCTGGAATCATGAGTGTTAGTGTGTTAACTGCTAATACTTTTGAGCACTCTTCATCTACTAATACTTGTAGGTAAGCATCGGACAGATCCAATTTAGAAAAAAAATTTACCTCCATTTAATTTGGCAAAAATTTCCTCCGGACTTGTTAACAGGTTAACATATTGTTTTAAACTTTTATTTAACCCAGGTGAAAAATCAGCACATACAGATTTTTTTTTTTTTTTAACATAAACTGTTGGTGATGCCCATTCAGAATAGTCTATTTTTGAGATCACACCTAATTTTTCTTGTCTAATTCCTTATTAATTGGTTCTAAAGCTTGCAAAAGATACACTCCTTTTTGGTATTCTCTTTTAATTCAAATTTAGCTTTAGTTTTTGTGCATGTCCCTAGACCTTCTGAGAAAACCTCTGGAAAGCTCTTTTTCAATTCATTCTTTAATTTACAGTTGCCATATTAGCACCACTTGTAACAATATTTATTTTGTTGCAAAAAAGAGTTTCATTGTATGGTCCCAAAGATCAAATAATGCAATCCTGTTTCAAATAAATTATTCTTTAATTACAAACACCACCGTTTTCTTGGTTTTTCCAACAAAAGAAACATTACAGCTGAATTCACCCAAAAAAGTTCAATCACTTTCCTGAGACTTCATGCGCAACTTTACCCATTTTTCTCCATGTCTGTTCATTTATGATAGTGATATCAGATCTTGTATCTAGTTGTAATTTTATTTTTACATCATTAATTTGCACAAAAACAAATTTCCTCTTTTGTGATGATTCTAACTTAGTTAAAGACATGTTCAAAGACTTGTTAATTTTTTTTTTTTTATGCTTCTTTACTCCATGTATTTATCATATTCACACACATTTTATTTTTCTTCCTTTTTTTTTTTTTTTTTTGTATCTGCAACAAGTACTTATGTGTCATACCCTCCCACATTCGTAGCATTTTTTGTTTTTGAAAAAACACTTTTGAAATGCTCACCTCCACAACCGTGGTAAGTATTAGGTATTGAGGTGGAGTTTATCGTCTGTTTTTACTGTTCTGTTAGGAGTTGAAAATGTCTACAGTCTTTTTTTCTCTTAGATGGTCGAACACTATGTCCTTTCCTTAATCCTTGCAATATTGAGTTTTAGATTTACAATATATTGACACACTTCCACTATTTTAATTAGTGATTCATTTCTAATTTAGCAAGTATCCTGGATATTATTTTCATGTCCTTATTAAAAGTTAAACCCTGTGCAAATATCAGACATTTAAATAAATCGGTAGTTAATTCATTTAACTTGAACTTCTGACATTCTCGATTCACGACTCCTACAAAAGTGACAAAATCTTCATTGTCGGACTTTACTAAGTTAAGACATTGCCATCATGAATTAAATAATGAGCTCCTATCACCAAAAATTTTTGATAGTATTACAATATTTCCATCAAAATTTATCTCCTGGTTTTTTTGGCAAAATATAATTGACATATTTTTCATGTCCAGCAGGGGACAATTTCCTTAATAATAAACAAACTTTCTTTTCATCATTCCAATGTGAACAATCCCTTTTCCTTTGTATCTTCTATAATATGCTGGAAAAGTTATCCCTTCGTCTGGATTGTACAAAAATTCGCTGATTGAAATAGCAACAGCATCTGAAGTGACTAAATCTGAAGTCTTCTGTAGTTTTAGTAAAAAATTCAAAAACTTCTGCTGTTGCTATTTTAATTATAATTGCTGTTCATGTTGTTGTCTTTGTTGCTGCAAATGTTGTTTTTGTTATTGCTTTTGTAGCACCAACATTTGAATCATGATAGCTTTTAGTTCTTCCATTTTGCTGTACTCAGCTGAATATTTTGTAGATTAATTTTTGAATAACTTCACCTCATTATTTCTCTGTAGTCCTGCAAATATGACGTCTCTTTGGTGAAGTGGTAAAAATTACTGAATATCCTATTACGACATGTAAATTACGCATATTTTTTTTTTCCTTGTGTAAGCTCAACAAATACTCATTGCCACTTTTGTAATGCCTGTTTGTAGGAGAGACTTTGTAAATCACAGATACAATAATAGTAATGCCTTCAAACAATACTCATCAGATGCCGCCAATTTCCACATATATATCTTTTTCCTTTACACGTCACATGATCTAATTATTCAAGATGAGGTCAACAACTTTTAAAGGAATCTGGCGATCTGTGTTCAAACCCAAGTGTTGACAGTGACACTATTCCTATATGACAGAAAATGTGAATTCTTTGACATATTCATGTTTACAATAAATCTTCTTTTTTTTTTTTTTTGATTTCAGATGCTGACCTTTTTCAAAGGAACATGCCTGCTGAGAAAATGAGGTCATTCTTTTATTTCATGAAATTGTTGAACTGAAATTTCCAAAATACTTTTCTTGTTGATCATTGTCAGGCTTTCTAAAATAAATAGAAATTTTTAAATTCCTTTAAAAGTTGTTTATGTATGACTATAAGGACTGGTTTAAACAGTTCAAATAGACAGCTTAAATAATCTATTTAAAATGAATTGTAGGTACCAAACCTAACCTCTCCAACTATTGGAGAAAAGAAAAGTATATACATAATGGATTTTTATTTAGCAATCTGACAGATTTTTATCACTTTAAATGTTATTTTTAATGGATATCCATATTTAAGTAGTTACTCCATTTACTTATTAAACAGTATATTTATTTTCATCTACTGACCTGAATATTTGAGAAATTTCATCACAGAAAAATATATGCTCTCCGGTAAGATTCGAGCCTGCATCAGAAGGAAACCATTTTTAGATTCAACATACCTTAACCAACTCAGCCTTACCGATCAAGTAAAGTTTTAAACATACATTTAAATAAAAATTCACCTGGTTGGTATAAAATGACCCATCAAGGTTCATATGGTGTTAAACAGATCCAAACCAAATCAATAATAGTGAAAGGACTGTCAAATTAGTGTTCTGATTAAAAGCAACAGTATTAAGATAAAAACTAAAAATAATAGTAAACATTCTACAGTTAAAAAGTAAAAGTTTTGTAATGGCTTTTTTTTTTTCCATATATTGTGAATATTTTTGTTCACATTTGTATTTTAACTTTGAAATTTTCCAACATATTTCAGTGAAACTTTCACTTTCCATAATTATAGTTTATACTGTGGATGTGTCGATGATGTGTGGGTGAATAGAAACTCAGTACAAGAAACTGAAGCTCTGATCCCAGTTGAGTTTCCTTCACTTTCATGCAAATACCCTTGAGAAAGGTATGACTCCATGAATTCCGCCAGCTATGGGTTAAATAGTAGGACAGACTTGGCTTTTCAGCCTTGGTTGGCAACGAGTCTAAGAGGACAACTCTGAATATCAAATGGTATGTATCTCTGCTGAAGTATATACTATGCTGCTAATGGAAAAAATTGTTGAGCTGACAATGACCCTATCATCCCAATTGGTATATGGTTGGTAGGGGTCAGTTTAAACTGACGTCAGGAGGATATGGGTTCAGTATGTGCTAAAAATAATGTACCAGCTGGATTAGACATTATTTTCACGTGAGATTGTATGTGTGATTAATGAGTTAAATGAGACCTCCTGTTGCCTCATCCAATCTTCTTACCACTTAGCTGTTAACTGGCCTGGCCTTCTTTAAAGAACATGTACATTTGTGTTCATCTTTTTCTCTTCTTGCAGTCTGAATATATTATACATTTTTGTTTTCTCAGTGTCAGCTCTGCTTTCGAAAGTTGTAACAGTTCTCAGGTGTCAGCAGAATCAGTGGCAATCTCCTTACTGAAAAAGTTCTCAGAAAAACAGCTTCCCAAAGCATCTGATCTCCAGTGGATGGTTTCTGAAAAAGATGCACCCCAGGCAGTAAATATTCACTTCTTATTTTTCCAAATATTTCTTTCACTTATTTCATTAGTATCATTACGACGGCTATTTATGAAATTTACCATAGCCTAGCACAGGCTTGTAGCAATCTTTCAAATGGAGAGAGAGAGAGAGAGTGAGTCGTCTTTGAAAATCAGCATTTGAAATCACATCTTTTACACGGGTATGTACACAAATCATTGGGAACTATACAACTGTTGCATCCATTAACAGGCTCTGATAATTATCTGCCAAGTTTAGCTTAGTATGGCACAAGGCTAAAATAATAACGTAACGATCATTACAGTAACAAGTGGTCTACGAGACTCACTGACTGTTGCTCAATGATAGACCCCCCCCATTACCCTCTTCTACCATATTTTTATTTAATTTGTAATCAACTTGATCAACTTTACTGATCTATCATTATGGTTGGAGATGAAGAACTTCAGTAAACCACTCTGACATTAATGCTTTTTCTCTGTGAAAGCTGTTTACATTCTTTGAAAATTCATTATATTTTGCAATATGGTATGATATAAAGACAAACTTTTTGTCTATTTATTAATAATAATAATAATAATAATAATGTAGACATGTGTATTTCTTTAATATATTTCAACAAATGCTTTGTTTTATTCTTTCTTTTGCAGTTACTTCCTCTTCCAAATTCCTATCCTATTTCTCCAGATGATGGAGAGTATGCAGACTTGAGAAACAGAGTATGTAATTTTATTTCAAACCAAAACCCTACACCCCCCCTCTTCTGAAACCATTGCAGGCAAAGTAATGAGAAGCGAAGAAAGATATTAAAAAAAATATAATTTTGTTTACTCACTAGTCAGAATGTCAAAGAATGAATTACTTATTTTTGCTTTTGTGTAATTTTCATTAGGCAAACTGTTTTAATTCATTAATGACCATTGTCTCATTTTTTATGGGGTGTAAAAATTAATGGGTTATAAATAGAAACTTAGAATTAATACCACATTTTTTATAAGCCTACAATTAATACCAGTTTTTTATAAGCCTACAATTTTTTTTTTTTTTTTTTTTTTTTAAACATTTAACCCCAAGCAAGGCGGGAAGCCACTAGCACGCAAGGGGTTACAGAGAGTTGTAGCTAGAGCAAATAGGAGTGATAGAGGAAAGGATGAAGAGATGGTTAGGGGATAGATCAGGGCATCTGGAGACATTGATTGATATTACATTTGAATAGTTGGAGATTATAGCTATCAGGGAAACAGGAAGAGGGCATGTCTGTGAGAGAGCGACTGCAGACAAGATGTCAGATCAGGGCCAATTACGTTACATATCCGTCTCTGGATCTTATCAAGAACCTGGAGACAAACATAAGGGGCACCAGACCATATATGGCAGCAATACTCTATGCAAAATATATATATATATATAAATATATATATATATATATATATATATATATATATATATATATATAAATATATCTGTAAAATGACAATATAAATAAAAACCAAAGGAAACTTCATCTTAGCTGATGGGTTTTGTCTTCTGATGTCTTTATATGTATGTATATATTTTAAGAGCATCTTTATGAAGCCAATAATTTTTTCATATGAACTTTTGTACATTTATATAAATCATTACATGTCATTTCATGGAATTCCATTAATTACAAATCTCTTAATTATGAATTTGAAAATTTCTCTAAAGGAAATACAAATTTTCTTTGATTATTTTAGACTTTTTCATTGCATTGTTATATTCTATCACCCCTTTTTTTTCAATGAATATCTTCTGAACATTATAAATCTCTGCTCTAAATACTACTAAAATACTTGTAAAATATTCTAATACTGTTCTGTTTATCCATTCATCTAATTTTATTTTTGATTACTTCTTTTCTTGATCTTTCAGACAAGATTACGAGGGAATCTCGAATGGGCTCCTCCCCGGCCACAGATTATTTTTAGCATTCATTCATCTTCCAAGTAAGTCACCTTTATCTTACAAAGTTTTCTCTTAACCGTCCAATTCTTTATTTTTTCCCCCAAATTACAGAATTGAAATCTTTGAAAATATTCTTCATTTTCCTTCAATTCTTCTGACTTATTTAGGGAATTGAATTGGAAATTGAAGTTGATATCTCTACAAACACAAAGCCACCCACCCAGAATGTCTGTCATAATATAGACAAATACTCTTGAGAAAGGTATGAATCCATCTCTTTCTCCAGGATATAGATTAAATAGTAGGATTTGTATCTGAGGAAAATCATTGTTATTCTCATAAAATTGTCAATGCAAAATTCACTTGCAGAAAAAAAAAGAATTATTCTTACAAACCAAAATTTAAAACTACAAAGGAATTGATAAGCTGTTAAAAACAAATGTTTATGGACACACCAACTATTTGCAGTTATTTACTAAGTAAGTACATAAATATTTAGTGAGTTGATGTACAATACAAGGCTGCCCAATTATCGTGCACCAATCAATGCTCATCAATATTTTCAACTTAAAGGTTTCTTTATTATTCCAGGAGAATTCACTCAACTTTCTTTTGACAAAACAACTTTAATGAAATCTACAAATGAATTCCTTTAGGTCATTTGCTCTGGGATTTCAGACCAAGGACTTCTTATTAACTTCTGAACAAAGATCTTATCACTACTTACTCATCTCAGACCACTTAGATTTGACAAAACTCAAATATATGGCATCTGGTCAAGTGACAGATCTACTATAAAACTAATGAAGCTGCAGGACCCCTAATCCGAGAGGGGGCATTTGAAGCAACTTTTTTGAATGAGTAAATTTTTAAACAAAATCAATGTTGTTTTTTGATTTTTTTAAAGTATTTTTTTTTTATTAAGATAAGGTCATTTTAGTGATAGAATCATAAGCGAATGAATTGAAATAATTAATGTTGTCTTTAGAATATGCTCTAACAACCATTTCATATGGCCTCAAAATTCCTCTGTAATTGGTCAGATTTCAAACTTTTCTTGGGGCAGGGATGAAGTGCCCAAATCCTCAGTTGTATGGGCTCATTGAACTCCCCACAATCTGTTTATAGCCTACATTTTGGCAGTTGGATCCTCAAATCTATTGTTGCTGATTACAAATGTCAATACCTCCTCTCTTCATACCCCCCACCCCCATTCAAGCTTCAGGGACTCAAAAATGTTGGTCTGCCACTGATGTGGTCTCTGCTAAAAAAATGTTCCCTTTTAATCTAAATTTTCGTGGTTGAATTGGTAAACGTTCCAGGACACACTTAAATCGTGGACATTTTCCAAGTGTCTAGAAAAAAATTTTTTCTGAGAAGTTAAGAAGAGAAATTAAAACTAAAAACATGAAAAAACGAATTCATAATTAATTAAAGCTGACAGCCTTTTGGTCATAAAACTACTTGGTTTAAACATAAGTTTTCTTTACTGATCTAATCCTGAGAATGCCAAAGTGTTAATTTATATGTTTGTTAATTTTTCAAATTCCTTGTCTCTGAAACTCATTTAGGTCATTTATTTATTTCATATAAAACATGTACTTCCAGTCTACAAAGTGCTTTACTATTAAATATTTCTAAATTCCCAAAACCCTTTAGTGTCATAGTGAGGACTGTGCATGCTATCTATCTAGATCAGTTTTTCTCAATTGGTGATCCCAGGTGCACTAATGTACCCTGAAAGGTAGGTAGGTGTACCCCAAGATAACAGAAGAATAATTTATGAATTATTTTTATATTTAAAAAATCTTTATTTTTAAAATGCTACAGACACAAAGTACAGTGCAATGGGTAAATTGTTGCCATTTTATATTTTTAATTTCATGCATATGCATTGTTTGTTTTTGATTTTGTCAACTGCACAGTATAGTAGGGTCAATTGGGCACCATCTGTGAGAAAAAGAGCACCATGGCACAATTCACATCTCTACCTAACCTCTGAAATTTTATTTACTATTTACTTTCATTTTTTTTACCTCAATAGGAATAGTTATGCTCCCCTAATTGTCTGATTCACTCTCCTCCCCAGTCTTTTGGACAGGAGTAGAGGTTTATCCCATTTTTTTTGTTTTGGATGAGATTTCCAATTCCTTCTAAAGTTTTTTCATTCTCTTTCACTTCCAGTAGCTCTTTGCGTCTTAGTGGCACTATCACCTTGCTTGGGGTGAATTGATTAAAAAAAAAAAAATCAGTCATTGTTAGCCTCTCTAAAATAATTATTTTCCTATTTTCAAATTTCATGACTAATTTTTCCATATTAAAATTTAAAGTGTGTCCCAAAGTCTTAGTTATTCTACACATTCATCCTGAAGTCACAAATGTTGAGACACAGATCTAGACTCTGCTAATTAATTATTGTACCAAAGCTGAACTCATTAAATGTTTTCCTATTTAAAGAAAGATGTTTACATATGAAAAAAACTAACAAAGCTGAACTGCAACTTTGCCATGTGAACATTCTGTGGAAATTAGAAACGAATCATCAGCGACTAACAATAAAAGCTGTTAACAACCACCAAATCTGCAGACCCCAAGACAAACTACACCCCACCCCTTACACACTACAAACTACACCCCCCCCTACACATTACAAACTACACACCCCCTACAGGCAAACAGTAGATGGAAAAAACATAGGATGACACTTCATAGAAAATTTATCTGACACATTTACACATCCACAAATACATAATTGATTTGTTGTTTTTCTTCTTCTATGTACCATGTCCCTTCAGGATGCGGACGATCATGGCTCTCCACAACTTCCTATCCTTTGTAAGATTTTGTCTCTTTACTATCTCTTGTCCCTGTACTAGCATTCATTCACATAAGCATTTTAAGTATCTTACTCAATGTTTTCTGGATTTCAATATGGCCTGTGAGTATCAAATTTTCCAAGTCCTCTTTCCTCATGTGTTCTAGAAATTTCAACTCTTTTATTCTAAGCACAAGCGTTCTTTTTGTTTCCGTTTTCCTTAAAACTTCCTTGTTAGTCACATGTTCGGGTCATGGTATTCTCAGCATTCATCTATGGAATCACGTGTCTGTTGCTTCATGTCTCTTCTTCCATTTGTGAAAAATATGTGCAACATTCACTACCATATAAGAGAACTAATATTATATTCAGCACTATTTTCTTTGCTTCTAATGAAATTTTCCTGTTTCTTAATACTTTCCTTATTTTTCAGAAGGCACTTTTCCAATGCAACTTCCAATTTCAGTGTCACATTTTCTGTTCTGTTATTAGTTCATTAAATAATCTTTGATTTGATCAAATCAAACATAAACATTCTTTTCTGATTTTTCTTTCTTTTTATCAAAACTAAACCCTAACCAACGAATAATACATCAATTTGATTTATGTTTCTGTTGGACGGACAGGCAGAAAATCCATCTTTAATTTAAATTTTCAAAACAGAATCGGTTTTATAAACAATGGAATGCTTGCTTTGAAGATTTTAGCTTCAGATCTACCATTCATCCATACCTTTCAGCTAAAATTATTTAAACTATTTTTGTAATATTGTGCATCTGCATCTAATTTTTAATATTGTGTGTCTGCATGTGTATTGTCAAACATAAAATATCATATTCCTTTTTCCAGACGTTCTGTAACAATTCCAAAGCAAAATTATCGATGTGCAGGTTGTGGTACCCGTGTAGAACCAGGTAAGGATTTGCACCTTCCTAAGATTTTGGCTTATTTTTTTCTTTTTCTTTTATCTGTTTTTTTTTTTTTTTTTTTAAGTTCCTTCTGCTTGTCTTATGCAAATAATATTAAATTTCTGTTAAGAACATAGTGGAGGATGAAAGAAAATAGAAAGATTATACTGCATCACCAAGTTGGGTTGGCAGATGCAGTCCTGACATTAGAAATCCACAAAATTATTTCCTTCTGCAACATCAGTAGTAGAGAAGAAATGTTCAACTATCTCAGCCAGAAAGCAGTAAGTGCTTGGTCATTTAGTATTGATGACATTTAGTTTAAAAGTCACAGTTTGGCTCATTAGACAACTTTTAAAAATAAAGATGTTAAAAAAAATAACTAAAAATACCTGAATGTATTAAAGCACTGATTTGCTGGCATAATAATTGTGAGTTCAATTCTTAGTCCAGGCAGTGCAGAGCCAGACTCCATGGAAATAGGATGAAGATAACTAAGCATTTCTAAAATGAGAAATTCCTAGACATGGACAGCAAAACAAGAACAATCTATCACCGGAGGTTAAATAAATTGTTCAGTCTGATATTCCCTGAAGCTTACCCAGAGTGACAGACACCTGAAGAAGGAGGGCACAACTGCTGAAACATTATGATAATATCAACAAAAATGAGAATATTAGTCTAAATGTAAATAAGTCTTCATCACAGAAATTCAGACCAAACCAAAACAAATGCTTACTAGTAAAATAATGGTGAGGCTCATGCCGTGGCCCTAGACATCACCAAAGCGTTTGATAGGGTTTGGCATGCCGGCCTTCTTCACAAGCTGCAGGGTTTTGGTATTACAGTTCGATTGTTTGACCTAATACAATCATTCCTGTCAAACTGTGAATTGAAGGTCGTTCTTTACGGATTCTCCTCCAGTTCCTACCCCACGAACACAGGTGTTCCCCAAGGCTCCATCCTTGGCCCCACTCTATTCCTTATTTTCATCAACGTCCTTCCTGACGCCATAGATTCCCAAGTTGGCATCTACACAGACGACACTACAATTTACTCCTGCCTCAAAAACAAATCTAGTGTTGGTGACAAAACTAACCTGGCCATGCGTCTTGAAATGGACCTCCAATCAGTTGTTAATTGGGGCAAGAATTGGCTGGTCAACTTTAACACCTCAAAAACTAAATTACTCTCTATTAATCAACATAGAGATCCTAATATTAACAAAATCAATTTTTGTTCATGGGCCTTATCAAGATTAATTATGGAGGTAACAGCTTTTTTTTATTTTTTTATTGCCATCCAGGCAGGTGGGATGGTCATAAGGTTGTTTTACTTACTGATCTACCCTTTTACTGAGATTATATTAGGCAAAAAGTTTCTTCCTAGATTGCCATCTTGTTAGATTTTGAAGTATTTAGTTCTTAATGTGTTCAAAATGATTATCTTTCATTGTATTGAGACAGCTACCTTATCAACATGCTTATTTTTTTTTTAATTTCTTACAATTGATGTGGTTTTATTTGTTCATTGGAGATGGAAGAAAAATAAGCAGATTTTTTTTTAAAAAATAAATATGTGACTTAAATGCAAAAATATTTCTGCAGTTTATGGAGAAAGTTCTCTAAATGATTGAAAGTGTCAAAAGTGGTTTGCAAAGATTCATGTTAGAGATACCTTGAACAATGCTCCACAATTGAGGTCGAATAGTGGGGACCCAAATCAAGTTTTATTATTTGAGAATTGATCAGTATTCTATGGAATTAGATCTAGCCAATTCCAATTAATTAACCAAATTTCTGAAAATAGATGAGTTAAACTCTTTCTGGTACACTTGAAACAAATTTGGTATTTAAGTTGATATAACATGGTTCCACTAACAAAAGTTTTACAGATACTAAACAGAAGGCAAGCCAATCTGCACACCAGAATTTTGTAAGGTACTGTGGTGGGATAACTTCTCTGTATTTGAAAAATTATGAACCACAACGGTAATTATTAGGATTAGTAAACAAAGATGTATTGGGATGGTCAACAATGCCTTCCAAAAGCTAGACAGAGTATTATTCATAGACACAAAATTTCATTAGAAACAAAGAAAAGAGTGCTGAACTGTTACATAATATCTGTCCTCCTAGATGGCAGTGAATGCTGGATAATCTTCTCACAGATGAACTGCCCAGTTGGCAAGGCTTCAGAATATGCTGACTGCGCCTATGCATGGAGTAAAAGTCCCTCAAGGGGGCCACCTGTTTGCCGTGGTTGAGGGTTTTGTGAGTTGGGCTATACATATACTTCTAAACTCCAGCACACCACTTTGACCCTTACTTGAGCTAAATGGGCAGTTGGAGAGGCCTGATCGAGCCAGTCGGCTGGTCATGTCAAATCCTAAGTCATGACTAACAAAACAAACACAGTGCACTCACATTTACCATATCAGACACTAAACTGACTTAATAAGCATTGACTGTATGGTTAATCAAACTGGGAACTGTTTCAACTTCTGAGAAAAATCCATACTTGGGTGGACAATCCTGGATATAACAGGTGCTTGGAACCCTCCCCACATATGAGTATATCAGTCATGCAGCTGTGGAGGAACGAAGCGAATGGGATATCCCCCTTATCATCACATGGAGCTTTGAGGTGGATGGGGAGTATGGCTGATGAATAATAATAATAATAAACAAAATATGAGCACAAAAAATCTTAGCATCTCGGATAAGTCCAAAAACAATTAAAAAAAGACTAGAAAATAATACGCTACTGACAGGAGTGAACGAAAAACCTGACTCTGAAACTCTACTAAAGATGACCAAATTCCATGATATAAAGATAAAGGTTTACCCACACAAATTTTTTTGATTCTTCCAAAGGTGAAGTGAGAAGCACTGAAATCTCTCTCTCTGTACACTGAAGGATATTAAAAACAATTGTTCTATCAAAAACAGAACATTATAGATATAAAAAGAATATCCATTAAAAAAAAAAATGATAGAATTATAGACATCAATACATATATCATTTCTTTTGATGCACGAGAACCACCACATGAAATAAAAATTGGATGTACAGTTTCTAAAGTAAAAACATGTATTCCAAACCCATTGTGATGTTTTGATTGCCAAAGATATGGACATGATAAAACTCAATGCACACAGATGCCGCTATGTGGAAAATGTGGGGAGAATGGTTCTAATCACACAGAGATCATATGACCAAGTCATACAAAATGTTGTAATTGTAAACAAAATGATAGGGCAACTTCCAAGGACTGTAAAACTTGGAGAAAAAAAAAAAAAACACACTTTAAAATTAAATGTACCAAAAAAAAATATCTTTCCCAGAAATGAGGAAAAGCATTGAAACAAACTTTAGTACACCATCATATGCAAAAATAACCCAAGCAACATCAAAAGCTATACTCATGAAAATCTAATATCAAATAAATTACGTGAAAAACGAGAATTCAAGAATTAAAAAACATATTGTATACAAGGAAACAACCCCAACCACTTAACCAAAACTAACAACAAATGTAAATCCAACACAAAATTCACTGACAACTTCTCAACTACAAAGCACTCAAATAGAAAATTACCCAAACAGAAAACTGACAGAACAAAAATCAATCAAACCTCAATGCAAAAGAAAATCGAAATCCAAAAAACAGATGAAACAGAATTAAAAACAAATAAACAAGACAACAACCGACATAAAGATAATCAGAAAAACAAAATGAAAAGAACCTAAATGATCATGAACATACAAATAGTCAGTGAAAAACAAGTTCGCAAACAATAAAAACAGTATAGAAAGTATGGAATATATAGAAATTGATAACCAAAAAAACATGGGTATCCTTAAGGAAGAATCCCAGGGCAACACGCAGCAAACTCCCACAGAAAACAGAACCAAAAGAATCGTCTAAAGAAAAGGTCCTGATAGAAACTAAAGTTAAATTTAAATTGCTTGAAGGAATGGAAGTAGAAGACAACTAAAAAAAACACAAGAAAGAAACCAAAGAAAAGAAATAACAAAAACCAAAAACACAAAAATGAAGAGCAAAATAATCAAATGGAATATCTGTGAAATAAAGCCAAACTTTAATGAACTTTTACTAAACGATGATATGTACACTTACAAGAAACCTTCCTTAAGGATAATAAAGTAATATTTAAAAAATTATGAAACATATAACCATATACACGATACTGGAATCAGGGTTACTGGTGGCATATCAATTCTGGCCAGAAATAATGTATGTCAGAACAAAATTCAGCCTGACACCAAACTAGAAGTAATTGCTGTTAAATCAACAATACACAGAGAAATCAAAATATGTTCCCTCTATATTTTACTGAGTAATCCCATCAATAAAACCAAACAAAACAAATTTATTGTACAGTTACACAAATCCTTTGTATTACTGGGAGATTTGAACAGCCATAATACCATTTGGGAAAGCAAACAAACAGATTGAAATGGTAGACTGCTTGAAGAAACAATAAACAGCAGCTTTTATTTTATAACAGATCTGCAACATACTTAAATACAACCTCTGGCAATCTTTTTGCTATAGACCTGACCTTATGCAACCCCTCGATCTATATGGACTATGACTGTAAGGTGTATCAGGACAGTTGTGTTAGTGACCATGCCCCAGACATTGAAAGCTAAAAAGAGCAGATTGAGAAAAATACAAAAATGAATGTAAAAAAACAGCTAATCAAGGACACAAATGATGATGATGAGGATCACTTTACAGAAACCCTTAACACCATAGCGGCAGAATGGATACCAAAAAGACAAAAGAAGAATAGATAAAACAAGCCATGGTTTGATAAAGATTGCCAGGTTAAGTAATTACACTTTGGCAAGCATCCCTGTGAAAATTCAGCATGACACCCATCATCAGACACAATCTGATTTCAAACATCTCAGAGCATATGTGCTCACAGGACAGTTAAAGAAGCAAAGAGAGAGTGTTGAAAAAAATATGTAAACAATCTCAACTCTTACTCAAAAATAATTTTGGAAATGGTAAAAAAAATATCAGGAAAAAACCAAACCCTCCCCATAAAGCATCTAGTGATAGACAACAATAAAATAACTAGCAAAGTAGAAATAGTTAATCTACTAGCTGAAACCTACTCAGAAAACTTCAAGGCAGATGAAAACCAGAGATTTTAAAATATCAAACAGAAGGTGGAAAAGCTTAAACTCAACTTCTCACCAAATAACCTTGAACATTACAACTTACTATGACAGAACTCTGGGACTCCATCAAAATATCCCAAAACACAGCAGATGGCCTTGACAGGATGCTCTACGAATTGCTCAAGCGCACCCCCCCCCACACACACACACACAAGAATCCCTAGAATACCTATTATATTCAATAAAATATATATAATAGAATATCCAGAATTTCCCAAAACCTGAAAGCAAACAACAATTATCTCGATTCCAAAACCATGAAAAGATCATGCAGACCGACAGAACTATAGACCGATATCACTGACTAGTTACTTTTGTAAAACTATGGAATGAATGATTAGAGACACTTGCAACAATGCATAAACAAAATAGACAAATGGACAACATCAAACAATTCTAAAATCTTGACGACTTGTTCCACTAAGCCCACAAATTTTGAAAGACATCGCTGATGATTTGGAAGTTTTTTTTTTCCTGCAGATTTTTTTTTTATTTTGCCTGCAGATTTTGTCCATTGCATCTGAAGTCTGTTGATGGGAGAGAGAGTTCATAGATGAGAGGTTTGTCTGTACAATAAATTATAAAATTAAAAAAATAAAAATCAGATTATCTCTACAAACTATTTAAATATAACACAACTTTGAAAAGAATTAAATAATTGAAAAAATATCAATTAAATAAAAGCATCTGGCATAAAATGACCCATCAGTGGTTGACATGCCATAAAATCCATCAAATAAAATAATGTCAAACATGAAGAATAGACTTGAATCAGCAGAAATGTGGTTCTACAGAAAGATGCTGAGGATACCATGGACTAAACATGTGAGCAATGAAAAGGTTTTAAAGAAAATGGAAACAGAAAAGAAACAAAAAGAAAACTTATACTTAACATCAGGAAGAGGTAGTTAATATTTCTGGGGCATATTATGAGGAAGGATGGCTTGGAAAATCTGATACTCACAGGACAGATTGAAGGAAAAAGGGACAGAGGGAAATGGTACATAACAAACTTGATGTGCTTCAGCAAATGGATGGTAAAGCAGGGTTTGGGAGAAATAAAAAAAAAAAAAAAATTAAGAGTGAAAAGAGACAGGAAGATGTGGAGGGCCATGATCGCCTATGTCCTAAAGGGACATGGCACATAAAAGAAACAAATTTAATGCTTTGGAGAAAATAAGAAATTTTATACTCATTTGCTCATTAAATGTTTTGCCTTCACTTTTCATGCAAATTAAAGATTCCCATGTTTTTAATTTTTTAAAGAAAGATTTTTATAAGTATTCAATACAAACAACAAAGGCAAATATTGTTTATGAATGTTTGTTTTCTTTTATTTGCACAGCATGGGGTTAATTGTTTGTTTTTGCTTCCTTTTTTTTTTTATTCAAATCTGGAATGACCTGTGAATTTGTTTGGGGATTTCTAAATCATCACAACACTACAATTGATTATAAAATCTTCTTTTCAGATTTCTTCTTCATATTTTCTGAAATGAAATGAAAAATTCTGCTTCCAAGCTAAATATGTTTTCTTTTTTTTCTCTTTTTAGCTTACATGAAGCGTTTTCGTTACTGTGAATATTTAGGAAAATATTTCTGCCAATGTTGCCACACCAATGCTTCTGCCTTCATTCCAGGCAGGATTCTACAGAAATGGGATTTCAGCAAATATTACGTGTCAAAATTTTCTTTTGACCTTTTAGCCAAAATCTTTAATGAACCATTCTTCAACTTGGAAGACATTAATCCTGTTCTTTATCGCAAAGTAAAAGCTTTGGAGAACATTAAACAATTCCGGCAACAGTTGGTCCATCTTGCAACCCTCATGAAAATCTGCAGGCACGCCAGTACCACGTGAGTTTTGACGATTCTTAGAATTCAACACTTTCTTTTATTCCTAGCCTAGAACTATGGAGTTATTATGCACTCTTGCTTTAAATATTTTTATTTGACCAGTCGAGATAATCGACAACCTCACGCCACAGTTATATGTGAATTTCATAATCTTATTGTATACACCAGGGCTAAATACAGTTTTGAATTCAGAATTGTCCTTCTAGACTAGTTGCAAACTATGGCTAAAGAGCTTAGTTGGTTCTACTATTTAACCCATACCTGGGGGAGGATAAAAAATGGACTCCTGCCTTTCTCAATGATGTCTGTGCAAAAGATAACAAATTCAGCTGGAATTTGAACCCTGCTCATCAATCTCTCTTCCCAAACATTAACCATTATGCTACTCACTATTTTCTTTTGGTTTAATCTCTGATGAAACGTTTGTCATAAAATATTACAGAAACATTTTTCAAGATGGAGAACTTGTGGTATCAGGAAATTCTCAATCTAGATCAGTCAATATTTAATTTCACTGTTTAAGAAAATAAAAGAACAGAGATGTCAATAGAAAGACATGTGGACCCAATAAAAATAACATTTATATTAATAAGAAATAATGTCAAATTTTAAAAAATCCATTTAAGAATTTGTACTTTTTTATAAACTTAACTGGATTATAAATAATTTATCTAAAAAATATTTATATGGATTATACATAATCTTAATTGGATTATCAATGCAAATAAGATTCAGAGGCTGATATTTGGATACCACACTATAGAGCAATAGTTAGCATGTTTCAAAAACCATTTCTATTGGAGTGGTTGGGGATTGTCTCACGGTACTCAAGATTTATGGCCTTGTACCAAAACCATGCTATACATCTTAAATAACTATAGTAGACAAAGGATGCTCTGTTATGGACCATGCTATTTTAATAAGTTTGATCTTCATTGAGTGCTCCACATTTATGGCCTTGTGACAGTCTAAACACATATCAGGAATTAACTGAAATTCCTAGAATGAATATGTAATAACAGAAAAACATCAACATTGGCCTGATCACCTCGCCATCTTGTTAAGGGGAACATGACTTCACTGGATAATATCTTGAATAAAAGGCAAATATTTCACTTTCCAAGGGAGACAACTTAGCGAATTGTAATGAAAATGGAAATATCTTATCTATTTCACTAATGTAATATTTATTTGGTATGACTGAGCAGGACTTAGAAAGTGTAAGATAAAAATTTAAAAAATACACATATAAAATGGGCTAATTTTTAAAGTTGTATCTATTGAAAATATAAAATTTGCTACATTTCTAAAGGAATAGTGTTCAGTATCTTGTACCCACTCTTGAAAGTATGTTTTTAGATATAGGCAGTGTAGACCATCATAATCAATCATGATGGTAGTCAGTTTCATGCTTGAAAGAGCTGTAAACATGACTTTTCTGACCAGGTGACTCTGAACCAGTTTTCTATGGTCCAATAATATGTTTTCTGGCCCAGGTGAGATGCAATAATTGATGTTGGCTCAACACTGCTGATACACTTGTTGGTCAACAATTACAAAACCCCTACAATGCAATGTACTCTGTACAGTGCATTCAATGGTGGAATGAGGATAGGATTTGATACAATGTTCTTCTTTTTTCAGGATTTACCATCTTTTTTTAGTTCCCAATAAACCCATTCTTGCATCATTTGTGGGCAGGACTCAAAAATGAATGCCATTTTGGGAATGATAAAACATTAATTTAGGACAACTGGTTAAATTTTGGGGGATGATGCCAGGTTGATACAGAATTTATAACTGAATTTTTATTCTATTTATTTTAAAAGAGTCTAATTTCTTTGTTAAGAGCATTTTATTTACTTAATCATCAGTAGTGGTGTGCTTGTAATAAATGAAGCTTACACATACACACACACACAAAAAAAAAATAAATGAAAATTTAATTTTTTTTTTAAACTGGTAAATGCAACATAAATGAAAAAAAGAGAAGTTGAAAAACTTGGATTTAGATATTTGTATTATTTCTCAATGTGAAAAACATTCAGATTTAATTGCCAGAACTAATTTTGCTTTAATTAACAAAGCAAGAAAATTTTTTCCTCGCAGTTCTTAGTTAAAAAAACATCTTGATTGAACCATTAACAAACAACATTTTGGTGTTATGTTTTTTACTTGTTATAAACTAAATTGAAAATTCATAGGAGAATATACAAAATGATAAACAAAAGATGAAAAAAGAATTTAGTTACATCGCAAGGCAGGTAATTGTGAATGAAAATATTTTGATAAAGACTTTAAAATATGTTTTGATTGTAAATAATTGGAATAATAATTCTTATATAGAAAATGAAATCCTGGAACAGAATTCTTAAAATAAAGGATCATAAAAGTTATTCTAAGCATGAAAATTAATTCACATTTGTCTATTGAATTATTCAATATGTTTTTATCAGAATTTTTAAATAAAAAATGTTTTATAAAAATTACAATAAAATCTAATTAATTTTTGAATTCATTATTATTTCTTAACCCACTTCCCAGAATCTGACCAAAAGACTAAACATCAACATTTTTTAAGCACTTTTACTTTCTTTGTGTGCGTGTGTGTCTTAAGAAAGCAAGAGACTACAATACATAACAAATCTTCATCTGTATCTTATGTTAAAACAACTTTTTTATATTGAAAATTCAGAAATTTTTTTTTTTAATAAGAATGAATTTTTATCTTTATCATTTTTTTAATATGCAGAGAAAAAAAATGAATTTCTTGTGAACATAATTATTTTTTTTTTTTTTTCAGAATTTATCCTGAGATTGAAAAGCTTCCTACTCATCTCATGAGAGAAATTCACACATATTCAATAGCAGACCTCATAAGGGTAAATATTGTTTCTTGCAATATTCTTTCTACAGTTTTTCATAATTGTCGATTTTTCTTCTTCTCGCCAGTCATATTTAACACTATCAAAGTATTTTATTATGACTTTTTATTTAGTTTTTCATGAAATTAACTAATGATATAATTAAATGTAGTCTTTCTATCTTTAAATTTCACTTTTAGCCTTCAAGATAATCTTTTGTCTCTCTTTCTGAAATGAGATATTGTAACTATTTACTGTATTTACATTGTTCAGACTATTGTCCTTATCTTTATTGCTATATTCACAACATTTAGTCCATTGTAGCCTTGCCTGAGCATATAATGGCCAAAAAGTCATGAATATGGCAACAAAGATGAGGACAAAAGTTCGAACTAATGTAAATAGTGTAAACAATCTAATGTCTTAGTTCTGTTTTTGTTTCTGTCTTGATACAAATTAAGAACTTTTATTTTGTGGAACAAGCTCCCAAGGGAATATTTCTTTGTTCATTAAAATCTTAACCTGTTCAAATCTCCTTTACATTTACTCATAAACTGTGTCTCTTAATCTGAGCCTTATATGCAGTGAACATCACTGTAAAAAATAAAATCAAATGCAAGATTAAATTTGGTCTCATATATTATTTCTGGGTATCACAGCAACAATTACAAAATGATACAGAAATCTGAATACAATATGAAGAGATCAAAAAATGCATGCACTTCATTGCTATATAATCTCCTATATGGCAGTGAGTGGTGATAGACAATGTTAGATAAAAGAAATGTGACTGACATGTGGTTCTATTGATGAAGACTGACATGTGGTTCTATTGATGAAGACTGAGAATGTTATGGACAGCAGCATGTGAGTAATGGAGAAGTTTAATGAGAGGAACTACAATGAAACTGAAAGTGACAACTGAGATACTTAATGAGGAAAGAGGGCTTGGAAAATTTAACACTCATAAGAGATACTGAAGTCAAGAGAAATGGGGGGAGCAGCAAATCATCTACATGTGGCAGAGAACATGGAGCACAAAGAAAACCTACATTGCAGGATGGCCAAACATGAAGCACAAAGACAAAGAGGGATCATAAAAGTGAAAATATTGCTGAAAGCAACAAAAGACAGGAAGCTGTGGCGAATGATAATCATACGAAGAGATATAAAAAGTATCTGCTGGCTTTCAGTGGTAATGAAATGACAACAAGTATCCTCAATACACCAGCACCTTCCTTGGTATTCTCATGTATGATTTTAATAAAGTTGTCATCTGAATGATTTTCATTCTTTCCCAAATTTCAAATCCTAATCTTTTTATAAGCTTCTTCAGGACTTTTCCAAGTGCTCTATTAATGATAGGTACTAACTACTGTCATCTTCATATTCCACAATATTTTTGGCAAGGTTCAGATTGATGTCAAATTTTCTACATTCTTGTATTTTTCTGGTCCCCTGTTTTAGTAACATCCACTTTCTCACAAATCTTTGTTTATGATGACTGGTTATTTTTTTTAAGCAAATGAGGTTTGAATTATTTTTTCCGTTTCAAAAAAATCAAAGAATAAAATAAAAAATGTATTTTGCAGATTAAATTTGTTTATTCATTTTCTGCATTTTTCTTCAACAAAAATAATCAAATACAATTTACAAGTTTTCCATAAAATGCAAAAGCACATTCTTCCCTCTGATCAATTTGAGTCTTTCTTGAATCGGATAATTTTTACTAATCTTAATAACGTGACAAATATTTTACAAATATATTTCCTGATATTGAAAAGAAATTTTGATTATTTCGCCACAATTAGTTTATGATAACCAGTCAACCAAATTCTAACAAGTTTAGCCATTTTGTAGTCTTTAAGAAATGCAAAAGAAAAGTAGTTTAAATAAACATTTTAGTACGAATAGTGTCTTATCAAATAAAAACTCGACTTCTGTGACATTCACTCTAGTTTTCACAAACATCTTTACACGTGAAATTAAAATGTCTATCATTTCTTTTCTCAGGTAAAAAATGGGGAGCTGCTGCCCCTCTTAAAAAATATTGTCACCACAGGAATTTCTCATGTCAAAGAATGTGAGGTAAGAATATGTTTATGCAAATATTGAGAGACAAATAAATAAATAAAGACATTTTCTTCATGAATAAAAAAAAAAAAAATAATGTTGATGTAAATTTTATAAGTTCTTTTGTTTTTTTAATTAAAACTTTATATTTTTGTCTCTTGCAGCATTGTCAATGCCTTGGATTCATTTGTGAACTTTGTAACAATGAACATGACATCATCTTCCCATTCCAACTGAGTAAAGCTATCAACTGTCCAGGTAAATGCTATCCAAAAAAAATCATCCTTATTATTATTTACTCATAAAACTGCTACTACTACTATTTAATTGCTCGTACAGTAGGTAGTCAGAGATTTGAATCCTTGAGGTACAACTGATATAATTTGAAGAATGAAAATGCATCTTTCATTTTAAATAATGACCAATATCCAATATTCAGATCTGATGACGATAGGTAATTGACAATTCCCTACACATTTATTTTAGATTTCAGAAGCAAATAAACAAGACAGATTTAAAATCTTAAAAAGTAAATCTTTTGTTTCGATTGGATTAAAAATCAGAAATATTTGTCAGCAGGTTGTGTCAAAGAAATCAAACTTTAAACAAATAGGGTGACTGCCCATGTTTATAATTTGTTTTAACAAAAATAATTTTCTTGTATTTGATTTATTTGTTAAATACAAAGCCTAGATATTCCTGGGTCCCCGTCTGCTTTCTGGCATTCCCGGGTCCCCGTCTCCTTTCCGACATTCCCGGGTCCCCGTCTCCTTTCCGGCATTCCCGGGTCCCCGTCTGCTTTCCATCATTCCCGGGTCCCCGTCTCCTTTCCGGCATTCCCGGGTCCCCGTCTCCTTTCCATCCTTCCCGGGTCCCCGTCTCCTTTCCGGCATTCCCGGGTCCCCGTCTCCTTTCCGCCATTCCGGGGTCCCTGTCTCTCTTTCATTGTTTCATCAAATCTGCTTTTGTGTTTGTAAGTTGTATTTATTTTTGAGGTGATTCCAATAAATTCTTTATCCCGATCCTTTTAAAAAAAAATATAGCTGTTGACAAAAATCATAATGTTGGTGCTAAATTCACTTGAAGATATCAATTGTCTTTTGTAACAAAAATAACCTTTTTTTTTGTCATTGTATTATCTATATGATAATGTTGATGCCATTCAAAGTGTACTAGTTGTGAATAGTCTATCATAGTGATTAAGTTCTAAGTTTGCAACATATGACTTGGCTGATTTCTGTCTGATTAGAGATGAGGTGAAGGGAAGTGGAAAAGTTTCTCTGTCATGATTGACACTTTATAGATGGTTGTGTCCCTGGGCACAAGAAAAACAAACATCATTCCTATTTTTTGTGTTTATTTTTGTTTTTATCAAATAAAATCTCACACAAATGATCCATTGGTGTGATTTGAACCTGCACCCAAACATGAATAGTAGCCATGCCCCAAATTGTTTATTTCCAGAACTAATCTTTGAAAAAAGAAAATTGATTTCAATGGAAAATAAATGTTAACATTTTTATACTTTTAAAATCTATAATGTAGATAATATTCCAAAATCTAATAAATGACAATACTTTTATTAAATTTGTATTTTTTTTTTTTAATTAACAGCATATGGGGGCATGTTTTTTTTGTATTTTTTTCTTTTGTTTTTTTGAGGCAGGATCAGGAATAATCTCACATAAAGCAAGGTAAATCCTGTCTGACATGTTACCAGTAGCCTGACCTGACCTGCTTAAATATATTGGTCCAGCCATGAAAAAATAGGGAAAATCTTTGGGATGGGCAGGGTTATTCTTGAAGATTCCTTAGACCTTCCTTAAAACACAACATTTGCTAGAATCAAGAAATATCTTTTTTTCTCAACTTAGAGGTGTGGGAGGAGGAGGGAGGTATTCCAGTTTATTACATCAATAAAGTGTAAAAATCATTTCCCTGACTTTTATTTTTAGTTTTTGGTCTTGGCTTTTATTAAGAAATGTCAAATTTGAAATTGTACTTCGTTGATATCTTTTTTTTTTTTTAAATTTCTGAAGTTTTCAGAAGCATAAACATTGGGGAATAATAATTATTTATCTTAAATGAAGAATAAACGGATATATATTTTTATTAATTTATGTAGAATTTTCTTCTTTAATAATATTTATATCATTTGTTCTTTATTTAAAAGAAATTGTTTTGTTTTCTTACACAGAATAACCAAGTGAAGGTAACACTGTAAAAAGTCTAGGATTTTACATTGTATTGATATTATGAACCGCCCACCCTCCACTTTTAAAATGATGCAAAATAAATCTTTTTTTATTCTGACAAATGTTTTACACCTTGTCAAAGTTCTAATTAATGTATGTTTACAAAAATTATTTACAAAAGAAATTTTTATATTTTGACGAGTGAAGCAGTCAAATTAACTAGCATCAAATTAAGTGGAATTTTCTCTTCAAAACAAATTCTATTGAATGATCATTTTTTTCTTTTCCAATAAAACTCGAGACTCATTTGATTCATAAGTGCAAATGGTTTTTGTTGGGTGAAAGCTTAGCATTATTTTCAAAGATTTAAAATGTTAAAATATTTTTTTCTTTCCTCACCAAAAAAAAAAAACCCCTTCATTCTTATTTTAACAACTTCTGCATTAAATGTTTTCTTTAAATGTTTTCTTTTTACTTTAAAGTCACATCGGTCAGGTTTGTGTGTTTGTTTTTCTTTTATATTATTTTATTTCAATTCATTACAGCCTTAGTGGTTTCCACTTGGTATTCCATCTTTTGGTGGCAAACAGATTTCCGTGCACAGAGCAGCTTTTATCTCTCGCATTGCATGTCACAATGTCACATCCCTACATCTTTTTTTTTTTTTGTTCGTTCACATGCGATCTTCAGATTCTCTTATTTTGAGGGCAAAATGGAAAATGTCACTTGGCTTTATTTTTTCCTCGCATGCATTTAGCTGACAGGGGAGGCTACTCTAATAGTCTTGAGGAGACAACTCGCTTTTCCTAACCTAAAAACTTTGGTCAATTTTTTTTTGCTTTTCTTCTATTTTTTCTTCTTTTTTTTTCTTTTAAATATTCGATAAAATATATAAATTTTGAAAGCTTTCTTAAATTTATATATCTGCAGAATTTAAGAGGCAGTTTCAAATAAGTATAAAAAAAATCTGAATTTTTTTATTGTATATTATCAACAATAAAATTTAGGGTGACTTTTTGTCCATATCTAGAATTTGTTTTTGTTGTATCTGAATTATTTGATAAATACAAAGCAGGGATATTAGGACCAAGTAGGTTCAAATCATGCTATTGACTCATTTTATATTTGACGTGCTCATATATATATATATATATATATATATATATATATATATATAATCTCAAATAGGATGCTCAGCTTCAGTAGCAATTTGTCTTTCTTTTTTCTTTTGTTCCTTTTTTTTTTCTTTTTTTTTTCTTTTTGTGTGATTGGCTAAAGTACCTCGGACTCCTACTTGGACTGCCATAAATTGTACCTCATACAGTGGATCTAAAACTGATTAATCACACCCAGAAGCAAAGTGAGTCTTGAGTAAGTTTTTCAACCAGAGTCTAGCTAGAAGCAGTGCAAAATGTCTTGAACATCATCATTTATTTTATACGTAACAATGACATCACAGTACAAACTGAAGTACAGAAAATGCAGAAAGACATTAAAGTAACATTGGAGTAAAGAAAACATTGGCTGATAATTTAAAATATTGAGACATAAAACTTGATCAGACAAGTTAAAAATTGAATGAATTTTGATTCCAAGCATAAAAGACATAATTGTTTATTTTATAGGTGCATCCATTGCAGATTTTTTTAACAAATTTAAGCCAAGAAACACAAATCTGTTGAAAAATTTGATGTACCCAAGAAAGTTTAGAAAATTGTTATTAAATGGTTAGAAAATAAGAAATAATGAAAATGTGAGCAAATAAAATGTTGAGAAAATCAGTAAAGAATTTTAGAGAGAAAAATAAAAAGATGATCAGAAATTTGTGCTATTTGTGATGTTAACATTGAAAAGAAATTATTATGTAAAGGAAAAGATTGAGAAACTTTTGAGAATATGATTGAAATTTCTGTAGCCGTGAAAAGAGCAGAGAAGAAAACACTTGATATGAACCAGGATGTGTTAAATATGTTAACCTTTAAGTCATACAGGGAACGAAGTAAAAAAAAAAGTGACTTCAAATTTGAATCAAGAGACCACATTGATAAAGAGTGTAAGAAATCCAGCGAAAATGGGACAGTTTGTTTCAGAAAAGAGAAAACAATGCAGAAGTGAACACTTTCAAGAATGAAGTTTTACAGTTGGCATAAAAGAGGCCATGCTGCAAGAATGACAAAAGAAAAAGAATTCTAAGAAATTAATGATAAGGAATTATTAGAAAGCAAATCATTTGATCAATACATATGCAAGAAGATATCAAAAGTGAATGTGTTTATTGTTAATATTAACAAAGAAGATATGACAAAATTGATTTGGGAGAATTACCTTTTGTCAGATATAAGTGAAGTAGAATTCAAAAAAAAAAGTACTGAATGATGCAAATAATTGTCATGAAAACATATTTGAAACCGATGTTACTAAACATGTACTGTTTAATGTTTGACAACTTTACTGACTGACATGATCAGCAGACTTATCTTCCTTGAGCATTTATGGGGTATGATGGGACAACACCTGACTCATTCATTTAGCCCTCCTATAACTCTTGCTGTATTGTGTCAACAGATGCAAGTGGTATGTGAAAATGTATCACAGAATACTTGCCATCTTTATAATTGTATCAATACAAGAGTACATGGGCCTCTATGTTAATGCCCAAAGACAATATACAGCATATTAATATGTATGTGTCTGAGTATTGTTGATACAATCCCTTACTTTGGAACCTGTACATGTATTGAACACATGTATATGTAATAATTTACCACAATCTGGCTATGGGTTATCTGTACTTATATTTGGTCATTAAAATACAGATTTTATGAAGAACTTTACAAGAATATTCTGTGCATCATGGAAGATTATAAAAACGACAATTGTATTTTGCCAAAAATCAGACAGCCTGCATAATTCTGAAAGATAATGTATTTAAGTGAAGAAATCTTTGGAATTAAGTGCTCAATATCAAAAGATGGCATTAATGATAATAAGAATAATAAATAAATTTGTCCACTTAGCTGTTGAATCTCTCTACTCTGAGTTTAATGGAATTACATCCATTCTTCAGGAGACTTGAAGTGGACAGATCTATTTTATATATTATATATAATTGCTGATGTAAATAAAAAAATAAGTATGTGTAAATGGAATAAAAATATCTTCTTTTTTTTTTTTCTTTTTTTTTTTTTCTTTTCTTGTCTAAAACATTTTCCTTGCATTCTTTTTTTTACTTTTCTCTTTTCAGATTGTAAAGCCTGTTATCATCAAAACTGTTTTATACCCCAAAAATGTCCAAAATGTGCCCGGATTGCAATGAGGTAAAGGAAGGTTGTTTATTATGGGGTTTTTTTTTTTTTTTTATCTCTGCAGATAACTTTTCGCTTTACTCTTAAAAGTCATTTTCCTATAAATATTTTAATAATATTTACAATCCAGTCTAAGAAAATTGTCCAGATTTTACAAGCACAAATAAAAAAAATTTTATCATTTCATATTACATTAGGTACCAACCTGCAATTATTCAATTTTTGCCTCTTATTTCGTTTGTCTTAATTTCCGTTGCTTTTAATGACAACTCTCAAATCGTCATTTTGTTATAAGCAATGCAACTAAGAAATAAATAAATAATCCTCTGGTGAGATTTGAACTCTGATCCTTTATTCTTGCAGCTCTATTATTTATTATCTCCTGCTTACTAACCATCATCAAATGACAATCTAGAATTTGCAGTAAAAAGCAACTGAAATTAAGATGGAAGAAATTAATTAATAATAATTGATAATGTTTCATGTAAGAAATTCCAAAGACGTCAGTTCCAGGAACTTTGATGACACGTCTTGCTCTGGACGTCACCTGAAATCATTCTCTAAAGGAAACATGTTTGCTTTTCAATTAACCCAGACTACATATCATTTCTGCTTAGATTTGGCTTAAACAAGAAAATGACTAAATGACCTGCTGCCCAACTGTCTTGGGATAATCCTCTTTCTTCAATTCAAAATTAGAAAATGTTCTTCTTACTGTATTAATCCTAATCTTACCTATTATTTTTACCTACTTTTGCAAAATTTTTTCACTTTAAAAAGATTTTTAAAAGAAAAGGGAGACAGTCATATTCACAGTAAAATATTTTATCATCACTTTTCATAGACCATTTTACGAAAAAAAATAAATTAAATTTTTGATGATCACATAAGCTAAGGAGTTTTTTTAATCATTTCATCCCAGGCAAGATAATAAAGCCACTATGATGCAACAGGTTACTGATTGTTAAAGAATATAAAAAAAAACATTTATTAAGGAGAGAGAAGAATAAAAGAACAAAAATTAAGAAGACAGAAGATAATGATTGATATTGCATTTAAATTTTTTAAAGTTAACTGAGAAGTAAAAAACCAGAAAAAGCAAGAAGTGCAATAAAAGAAACTGTTAGCATAGAATTTATGGTTGCATCTTAGCAGCCAACTGTAAAATGATGAAACCTTACTGCCAATCTAGTCGTGCACTTAAATTCATAAAGTCTAAGTAGCAGTTCTGCAAGAAATTCACCCAAATCAATAAAACATTATTATCAGACTTGAAGATAAAGGATGGAAGTTTGAATGTTGTCAGCTGTTTCATTTTTTCCAATTGATGCTTCTTTTTTCTTTTTTTCCAATTGATGCTTCTTGTTCAATGGTTGTAAAATGTCGAGACATCTTAAGGGTTGAGATAAAAAAAAATTTAAAAAAAAAAAACAAAAAAGGCAAAATTAATAACAAAGTTTCAGGTAAGAATTTCACACAGCAACGTACTTGGATCTTGTGAGGTTTTAAACTTGGGAAAATAGTTCCTTTCTAAAATGAACTACGGTCAATCTTGCTCTTATGTGCCTTTCAGTAAAAAATAAAAAATTTGTATTGACAGATTCATTTCAAGAGAAATATTCCTTTCTTCACTGTTATTCATTTATTCTGGACCTTTTTTTTCAAAATCTATAAGTTTCTTACTCTTTTTTTATTATTGATGTTCTTAGCATTTCAGCTGCTACATTCTTCAGCCTTCTTCAGGTGTCTGAAGAATCGGATCTGTCTTAACAATTTGCTTGGCATTTTTCTCTCTCCTTCACTACAACAATTCTTAAACATTGTCTTGTTTTTTTTCTCTCTAATCTTTTGAAAAGATCACAAGCAATGTTAGATTTTTTCCCAAACTGAATAAATATGCAAAAAAAACTGTTTCAGAACACAAACTGCAGTGTTGTAAATGGCCATTAATGCACTAAGATGCATTTAAAAATGTCTTTAGTTTTTAAGCAACAACAAAAAATGTTTCCAGACTTGACAATATTATTGTTGTTTTTACAACTTGTCACCCCACCCAACACCCCAGCCCCTGGTGTCTTACCTTAAGATTATTATTGTCTTTTTTTTTTGTCAAAAAAAAAAATGAAAATTTATTTTTTGTGGTATTTTAACTAAAAATTGATTGAGAAATTAAACCAATTAGAAAATGTTTATCTTTTCTGTTTCATCTCCCCCGCAAAAAAAAAATTGTTCTTCCACAGTCAAAGCATCTATGTCTTTTTTTTTATTATTTTTTTTTGTTTAAAATGTACGTGATTGAAACTAAAAAAAAAACCTCTCTCCCCAATTCTCTACAGAGGAGTCGAGTCAGAACATAACTACTGAACACAGGCAACCTTTTTTGGTAACGTATTCTGTTCCTCCAACTCTTCATCATCCATTCTAATAATAAACGTAAAACGTAGCCTGCAATCAATTCTCCTGACTTGACAATGTTTCCCCTCTTCATCCTTTCATTTTGTCTGCTTTCCAAACACAAACAAAATGATTAACAAAATCAAATGAAATTTTAATTCTCTTCAACCAAAATTGAGTTTATATTTTGTGATGTGATGACACCCCACCACCACCCCCACATACAGATTGTTTCTTCTTCGTTTCTTTAAAATCCCTTTCATGTCCTTTGTTTATGTATTTAATTCTTATCTCTTCAGCCAGAATTTAACATTTATAAAAATATCTACTCATTAATCAAAATTAGACAACAAATTTGCTATTGTCCTTTTCCTTAAGAATTTAATGTATTAAAAAAAAAAAATCTTCTGCACTTTAGGAATTTAATATTTTAATAAAAAAAATATTTTCTTTATTAATGTTCAATTGCAAAAAAAAAAAAACCCATTTCGATGGCATATTAACCTTCTTCCTTTCCTAGAAATAAAAAAGAATAGTCAAGCTTTTGAAATTAATCTACTAACCTCTTTGCATTTGACTCTACTAATTTCTAAGTCATGAGCCAAGCATGTTTTCTTTCTGACCCCATGACTGATTTTGTGGTGTTGCTTTTTTTTTTCCTTTCTAATATTGGAAGCTCTGCATGGAGAAAGCAACTAACATTTTTCTTTAGTGTTTTTTTTTTTTTATTGATTCATTAAATGACTGAATTGTCTCCTAAATTTAAAGTACAAATGAAATACAAGATATTTTGTAAAATTTACTTGGGCTAAAAGTTTGTTTCAATCAAAAGTTTTTAAAAAAAAAAAAAAAAAAAAAAAGGAACTAATTGAGATATTGTCATTTTTTTTTTCTTTAACTCTTTCTTTCTCTTGATATACTTTTGTGAAAGCCATCGGCAAAATATTCAATATTTTCAAACAAATTTCAAATGGTTTTTAATTGTAATTCTTTGAAAAATCTTGTAACTATTAATGTTTGTAATTGTGGGTGTGCATTGGTTAACAAATTTCTTTTGTAGACCAATTCATTAAGGTATTGAGTTCTCTCTTCACTTGTTGCTCCATTATTGCGGCCTTGTGCCAGGTTCAGTGACTAAAGCTGAAAATAAGAGACTAAAAATATTCTGATAGCCAATCACATACAAACGTTGTAACATTTTACTGGAAAAATAAGAAACAAAATAAAACTTACTCAGATACTAATGTCATAGTAACAAATAGACTAATTCCTGGTCTTTCTCTCCACTGTGATAACAAGAATGGTGGACATTAAATAAAGTAAGTAAAAATTAGGAGAAAGAAATTAAGAAAAAATAATTACGGACGACACTTTTTCTCCTAAATATTTTGTATTTTATTTTTTTTCTTCAACTTTAGAATGAAGCTCTACAAAATTTACATGCAAAATTTACATCCCTGAAAGAAAATGTATAGCAGAATATTGTCAGAAGAATTAAAAGGATTTTGACAAGAATGCAGTGCTCGATTTGGGAAGCTGTAAACTAGTATAACATTCAAGCTCTATACCACACCAGCACCTGCAAATGAGGTTCTGAATATAAATTCCAACAAAAGGAGACCAGAATGCCAAACATATGCTTTACAGTGTGTGAGGGGAAGGGGAGACCATGTCTTGATAAAACCCCTGCAAAACTGGAGTATAACAAGTTTGGAATGGAATAAGTGACCAGGATTATCAGTCAACATTCAATCATGATTAATGAGATGCTATGCCATGTAAAAAAAAAAAAAAAAAAAAAAAAAAAATTCTTCCAGACCTTTCTAGAGTTGAACGTGCCAGCAAATGATGACAACACATCATCTGAAAACAACTGGGAAATTTTAATGAACTCAAGTAAACCAGATGACTCTCCAGAAACAAACAAGTGGAGCTGAAACAGATGTAATGACCCCGCCCAGGCATTTATGAAGAAGCATCCAACACAGAGAGGCTGGCCTGGGGATCCACTTTGGTAGTAATGAAAAATCAAGTGAAGTGCTAATTTTTTTTTTTCTTTTTCTGTTTAAAAAGTTCTTGAATATGTTTTTGGCAGGTTCCATAATGGCAGATCTGAATGGCATAACAGATTTGCATGCATTAGCCTGCTGCATATGCAAATCACTTCACCTAATGAAAACAGACATCAAGCAAGTATTGGGTTTGCAGTCGGTGACATGAAAGAATGAGGATTGGAAGCTACTTGTTTATTTATTTTCTTTAATATATGATGTCTGGTGAGTTAATACATGAATTGCTGTGTGGGGTCTGAGTTTTATAAATGACTGAAGATTTTTGTTTTTCTTACGATTTTCTTTATAATCTACAAACTCTTATGAAGAATCACCATTTTTGAAGTCTCAGTATATGTAAATGCATATAATGATGACTACAATACTATCATGAAAATATCCAATATCTGTCTTTCCTATGAAGTGTGTTGTCTCTCGAGTGCATGTGCAGAAAATAATGGCACCCTTTGTCAGTTTGGAGATTTGAACAGAATCACTTCTTGGTTTCTTATAGAAGGTTACCAATCAATTTTTTTTTCCATCTTTTTTCAGGAAAAAGTTGCAACAACAAAGGTCCATGGATATTGAAGAAGAAGAAGACAATGGATGAAGTTCTTACCTATTCATTTGTCATTATGGCATTTTATTTTTGGTGACTGTCAATTGAATGTGATTGACAACAGGCACATCCATCCCTATGTGTTGTCATCAGGGTAAAGGAAGATGGAGAAGCAATATGGTGCTGCTATAGCAACCAGCAATCAGTCTAGCTCAGTGATGAGGAAATTAACATTTTTTTTCCTGCTGAGAAAAAAAAAAAACTGGTTCCAAGATTTGGGGTTTGTGGGGTGGGGGGCTGCACTTCTGATGTTTGTAAAATAACTTCTGGGTCTGTCTGTATGTATGTATGTATGTATGTGCGTGCGTGTGATAGAGAGAGAGAGAGGGGGGGTCTGCATTGAATAGAAAAGAACGTGTATATATTATTAGACTTATTTATTGTAGTTGCTTTGGGTAGCTCGCCTGTCTACATGATTCTGCCTTGTGGGCAATATACAGGTCTTGTCCATTATTTGCCACCCACTAACAGGAAACAAGTCTTCTCAAAGAATTGATTCTTTGTCTCCTTGCCCACCCATCACTTATTTTTCTACTTACTCTCATTGCAATTTCTGTATACAACTATATTTATGGGTCTCTCCTGTCCCCCCCCCCCGGACAATTCCTATATTCAGAAGGATGTGGTGCATCTGATCAAATAAGTCATCTGCCATCTTGAATCTTTAGGCTAGGCTCTTTTAGCTCTATGTACTTTTAAAATCAACCGTCTTGAATGTTGTATACATTTGCCAAAGTCAGACTTTTCTTCTAAAACAGGGAATATTTTCGAACTCAGTTTTAGAAGTAGAAGTTTTGTTTGTGGATGGTTGCTCAGATTTAGTCGGATTAGAATGTCTGTTTTTGGTGAATGAAAAAAGAAATCAGATTGATTTGTAAAGATTTTAAGTTTTTTTTCTTTAAGGAAAAAAATAACAATAAATTCTTTTTTATTTGTTTCCTATTCTGAACTTTGCAGACAAATCTTTAAGGTTCAGTTTAAGGAATCAGTCAGTGTATCTTATCATCTCTGTGCACACAATATATACACATGAATTCTTGGCTGTCACTTATCATTTGCACTAATGAAGAAATTACTTATCTCCAAGAATGAGATTTTAAACAAAATATAGCATTTTTAATAACTAGTTATCAAAACATTTTATTTAAAATGAAAATAATTTATCTTTGTTTTATTTACAGACATGTTTAGAACATTTAGCCAAAAAGAATCCCTGTATAAGGGAAAGTAATTTCAGATCTGATTGGCAACGCATTTTTTGTTGTTGGTTAAAAGGAAATTCACCAGACTTGGCAAAATTAATTATTGTTGTTGTTACAGCTGCTGTCACCACAACCAACACCCCAGCCCCTGGTGCCTTACCTCAGGATTATTATTGTTTTAATTTCCCATCATTTAACTTTTTCTCTGCTCTAATGTTGCAAATTTAAAACTCTTCTGATCAGTATTGAAGTTTTTAGCCTTGGAATGGATTAAGAGCGAGTCATAATAGTTCCTGCTAGAAGAAAGATTTTATTGCAGATTTACCCTCAAATGATTATCTAATCCTTATTGTGATTAGCATAGGATACCTAATCTCTTTAGGTTTTTGTAAGAGATTGCTTTTTTTTTTTTCTTCTTCCAATGGAATAAACCTGAATTCTCTTTTAGGAAAACTCATTTTTAAACAACTGACATTGTCCAAATTTAAACAAGCTCTCCACATTTTCTATTGATTTTTCTCAACTTCAAAAAGTAAAAACATTTTGTCCATGTGAATTTTTGAAGTGTCACAATGAATAAAATGACACAATTCGCAACAACATTACATGATTCAGGTTTTCAATGTCTTATTTTATGTTAAAATGCAATCAGTTTTCAGAAAGTTCTCTTAATGAATCTTATGTTGGCAAAGGATTTTTCTTAAATAGTGGTTTTTTATTTTTTCGTTTTTGTAGGGAAGGGGTCTATTTTAGTTTATTTATTGAAACTATATATATATAAATAAATAAAAGTGGACATTGAAGTCAACACCCACGCAACAGACTTGACTTTAATGTCGACTTTTATATTTACATACACCCTATCTGATATTTGGAACTGTATCCCATAAATATAGCATACCTTAAAAGTTTGATTTCATTATTTTTTTTTTTAAATACAAATAAGATGTCAAATTTTTAGATTATTTCTAATTTATTTTAATTGATATATAGTCAAGAATTTACAAACAAAATAACATGCATGAAACGGTGATTGAGTAAATACAAGAGGTTCTGAAAATTTCTTGACCTGATCCCCTTTCCAAAATGAGTACGTAAATGACCCTGCTTTTGAGAAGTGGGTCAGATTGACAACTTTTCAACACCCGTCTATATATATAATCCTAATTGTTGGGTGAATGTAAATGTGTATATGTGAATTGGGTGGAGGCCATGTAGATATAAGAGTTTTTATTTATATATTGCTATCTATTTTCATATTGTTAATAATAATGTTTGCTTTTGGCACTATACTCAAGTGTAAATAAAAAGATTCCGCTGCTGTTTTAAATCTGTCTTTATTTTTTATTTGCTTGTCATCTAAAAAAAAATTTCACTAAAAAACATTGACAGTAAATATGAATACTTTAATTCATTTTGTACTGACCTATCAAGAACAGAGACATAAAGTGAGGGATTAAATACCTGCAGTGGGGAAGTCGTCAGTGTGAAGGGATAGAAGATGACACAGTAGACTTAAAAGACAAAAATGTTCTACATTCCCATGGAGACCAAAGAGAAACTTGGGTGAGTCTAAGTGTTGGTCTTCTGTCCCTGAACTGCAATTATATCAATATGAACAGAAGAAAAAAAAAATACCAGTGAACTGCAATATGATAAAGCCATATATATGGTGAAGATGATGTTGCATGCATAAAAATGATAAGGCTAGTTGCAAAATTAAAGAAAATCACCAATGTGACCAGTTTCATCTAACCGTTTCTTGAGGGTGGGTGGGAGTGTAATGATGAACATCGAGACATTGACAAGATCAGGTTTAAGTAGGCATTTACAGCTTTACATTAACAGGAGTTGGACAGGTGAGTCCATAGCTGTATATGCCAATGGCATTTGTAACTTGGGCTCCAAATTAACATTTAACAATTGCCCAACATTGACAATTGTTGTGGGCACAACAGCAGTGGGCAACATTTCAACTGTTGTTGCACAAAGTGAGAAGTTCAAAGGCTAATTATTTCAGATGCAAATGACTCATATAACCTGAGTGGGGTTTGGTTTTATTACAACATTCAAGATTATGACAGCCTTTAACGGTGAAAAGCAACAAAATAACAGCAGTTACCATTGATGACAAGTGGGGAGGAAATGATAAATCACTAAAAGAAATTTGGATTGGTAACAAAGACCCTAGAATTAGGGCCTTTGGGTTAAGGCAAGCAGACATATGGAAGTGTGAATGAGATCCCTGAGATGGTGGGGTGGAGACAACCTAACTAGGTAAGAATTGTTCTCAATATTAGTAGAGGTCACTCACGGAATGCAGTTATGCGAAAATGGCCGAAGACATTGACTGGGAAAATGAAATAAGCAGAGAGGTAGATACTGTAATGAAAAACATTGTGGATGAGGTAAAAAGAATTGGCATATGACCAAGTCAGAGAAAGAAGTTTTTTTTGATAAGATGCAAACAGCATTTCAACAGTTCAGTTCTGTGTATTGAAATGAAATAGAATTATAGCTAAGGATGCTATATCGTTACAGAAAAGCAATGATTTCAACAATATGAACATTACTGAGTTGGATGCTGTAATTAAAGAGGTGAAACTAGCATTAAAACGAGGGTTGAAAGACAAGTGCATACAGATTCAGCTACAGTTCTCGGATCAACTATGATTACTGATAGAAATGAGTATTAAGACAAAAGGCAGCACAAATCCTAGTAAAGAAGTGACTGAGAATACTGTCTGAACTTGTGACAGCATTTGACCTAATTATTTTTTTTCCACAGAGTTAAACAAAACAAAAAAACCATTAACATGTAGAGAATAGCTGGGTAGCCCTGATGGAAGCAACAGAGAACTCAGCTCACTTGTGTTGTCTGGGACACACAGAGATCAATGAATTGCATCATATGGAAATAGATAGAACCCTGTTTCTGGTCCACAAAGTTGATGGAGATGTCATTAGGGAGGTTGTCCGTGAGGCAATCAGGGATTGCAATAGATCCTGCCTCCTACCATAGATGAATTGGGAGAAATTAATACCAACCAGAAGAGGTTGTCCATTGATATAACCCATTATTTAGGAGAGGGGATATATTTGCTGATGGTAGACTGTGGGCCTGGGTGAGTAGCTATTTAAAAGACAATCCAAAATGAAACAGCAGCTGTAATCACAGAGGTACTTAACAAGGTGTTTTGCAACAGGCAGATAGTTGGGGAAGGCCTTATGAATAACAGTATGGGGTTTTGCTCAGAAACCCATTGAGAAATGCTAGATAAATGGAAGGTCAGATGGTACTCCAGAGCAGGCCCAATGGAAATGGGATTAAATAACATCACCATGCCATGAAAGCAATCCTGGTATGGTGAGAGGTATCACGAGTTGTAGCAATATTTTGGTACATCATCGTTTCAGTCAAGACAAGCAAGAGAGACTGTGCCACAAAGATCCGTATTTATCTATGAGTGGTGACATTCCAGGATAAAGCTAAGTGAAGATGTCAAGAAACTAGCTTCAGTCTAAATTGGGGATGAGATGTGGAAAGGTTCAATACATGACAATGGGGGAGGGGCGTGGTGAGTAGAATGCACTTGTCAAATGTACACTATTTACATTATTCGGACTATTGTCCTCATCTTTGTTGCCATGTTTATCACAGCATTTTAGCTGTTCTTCAATCTACCCCCAGTGAGCAAAATAAAGGGTTCAGTTTGACATTCCAACCACCTGAAGAAGACCAGAGCATTGTGATAAACATGGTGACAAAGATTCAGACAATAGTCCAAA